GCTACCTCAATCAGATTATGCAAATTGATCCTTCTGAATATCTTAATCTCTACAAATTACAGAGGTGCCACCCTTGCACACATCCTCACTATCACTCATCCCTGAAGCACTTCCCTTTCTTCACAAGATAATAAATGCCGGGAGAGGCCTAGGATCCAGGCTTTTGACCACACATCCTCACAGGAAATGGACTTAGGACCCCTTGGCTGCCCTTACCTCGGAATATGCCTTTGTGTTTTTATTCTCGCTGTGGATTGCACTGTGGTGGTAGATTGGAATTGACTGGCTGGGATTCCAGTAACGGCTCAATGGGATTACAAATGTAACTTTCTGGATTGTGAGGAAGACTAGAAAGAGGATTACAATACTCAGTGACTGAACTCGATTTTTAGGTATACAATACACATGGCCCTGGTACTTTTGTCACTTGGCACATGAGAGGGTCATATTATTTATTGTCTAAACTGGCACACACTGGAGAGTGTAACAGGGTGAAGGGAGGGGATTCTCTGATAATAATCATACTGGTAGCAGAGTTGTCCTGGGAAAATCAGGGAATATGGTCTCTCTGTATAAATTGTTACAAAAGAAGATGCAAACACAGACGCAGACAGATCCAGACAGGTAACCCACTGCCTGACTGGAGTATCGGACCCCCAATGGCTGCTCATTTAAATTTCCATCTAAACAACTGTTCAGGACTGTTCCTGTGTGTGAATCTGACCTATGATGGCCAAATCTTGGTATTTTTTAAAGAGAAACTAAAAATCAGTAATTGTGGCATTCTCTTCAATTTCAAAATTTTGGTGATACTTTAATTCAAAATACTACAAAGGCTAACATATATCCTTATAACTTTGACTCAGAGGTCATCAGTTCTTGATCTTTGTCTTACAGAGTGGTAGAGAGAGCTGCCACTCTCAAAGAGAAAAGGACTCATGGGACAATATACCAGTCAGTTATATAAGCTTTAGCTCTAAAGAAGAAAAACTGGAAAATTTATACAGTTCTCAAATCAATGAATTCATCTATTCAAAAAGTGATGATAGATTATGCTTACAAGTCAGTTGGCTTTTATTTAAAAATAAATTCCACTACTTCCTTTAGAAATTGTGTTGGCTATTTGGAGCCAGTTGGCTGGTTTTATCCATCAGACTAGGACACAGCTTCATCTTCAAACCCACAAAAAACAGATCACAATAACAACGTTCCACACAGGAACATCTTATCTCAAAGGTGTCCTCCCTGCTCATCATTCTCCACGACTGTCAAGCTCCACATCTTCCATGTGTCATCACCTGGGTGGGCTCCTCTTAGCTGTAAGAGTGTGAGGAAGGTGAGTGGGCTGCCCATGGGCGTGGGGCAAACATCTTCATGTCCACAGTCTGGACACACTGTTACCCCAAACCGAGCCAGAGTTCTCAGCAAGAAAGCAAACAGGATCAGAGCTGGATGGAGAAGACTTTAGCAGTGTCTGTCACCACTGTTACTTTTATCCATTCCCTTGAAAAACATGTTTTGAGAATCCTTTAAATATCAGAACCTATTCACAGGATCAGAGATCACTGACCCTTATGTAGATCTTACATTAACTATGGTTTGGGGCTCAGCCTACTTTAAAAAATATCACAGTGTTTTAGAAGCTCATGAAGTCTTTGAAGGAACATGGAGCAGGATAAGGAGACTAAAGAGTGGTGAGAATGGAAATGAGATCACAATTTGATGGTTGGTAGTTCAGGAAAGACCATCTAAGAAGGAACCTTTGATCAAAGGCCTGAAAGATGTAAGAGGGTAAGTTGTAGAAAAGCAAGTGCAAAGGCCCTGAGGTGAGAGCAGCTTTGTGTGGTGGTGGCACAACATGGAGACTAGGGTTGGTGGTGGGCAGTAAGGGCCAAAGGGCAGTGGTGAAGTGAGGTCAGAGAGGATTTGCAGCCCATATCACCTAATAAGGACCACTTCAGGCTTACAAAGCCAAGGGAAAATAGTATGCAGTGGGGTGACATGATCTGACTTGGGGTTTTAGAGTATCATTCAAGACAAAGTTGTTGAAAATGAACTGTTTGTGAAGATAATGAGATTCATTATGACGCCCATTCTCGTTGACTTTTATCTACTTTTGAAGACCTACAATGTCTCCAATGTTTTGGTTTTGTCGGTTTTGTTCTTTACTGTTTTGTTCAATTTTATTATAACTAATGATATAGGCAATTCTATTAGAGATAGCAGGAGGCATTATGGTAACCATTGTTGATCACCTTGTATAATGTTTTTACATTATCTATTATGTCCACCCTTTTGATTTGACCGACTCTGTTCTGTTATGTCACATTTGGTTTTACTCTCTTCCAAAAAAGTAATAAGAACCGTGGGAGCAATAAAACCCAAAATGTGTAATAGTCATTGTACGAAAGAGAGGAAAAGAAAGTGCTCTAAACTATATAACTGCATGTATATTTGTGTATAAGATAGAAAATGATATCACTGAGTTTTATTGGATCATTGAACAGAACTGTTTGCAGTATCATTGTTGGAACGTCCACTTTACAAGCTTTAATTTTGTGACTTGAACAATTATTTCTAAGATGACTATATGTAATCCATCAACTAGTGATTTCCTACTATTTATTTTTTTTTCTGTAAATCTGTATAACTTGTACCCTTTCTCTGCTTTTTTTTTCTCCTTAAATAAAATTTTAAAAAATTTAAAAATAAAAAAAATAAATAAAAAAAAAAGAAAATGAACTGTTGCGTCACAGGTGAAAGCTTAGAAACCAGTATCAAAGATACTGTAATAATTCAGGCAAAAGATAATCACGTCTTTAGTGGTAGCATTCCTCTGTGTATATATGTGTGTGTGTGTGTGTGGTACTAGGGATCAAACTCAGGGCCTCAGATAGGTACTTTACCACTGAACCATATCTCTGCTCTGATTTTTCAAAATCTAGTGCATATATATATATATATATATATATATGAAAATAGAGAACACAAATGAAAGGGAGCTGAAATGTCTCACTCCTGTATGCCTATCCCTGTTGCAAATATTGAGTAGAAGCCAGAAATTGAAAGAGAAATGGACTTTTCATTCATATTTTATCTCAACATAGTAGCCTTCATTATGTATCTTAAAGTTAACTCTTGAGCCATAAGACACTGATCTATGGACATACACATTTCTTTTCCTTCTGGTTTGTAGAGCTCCTTATCAGTCAACATTACCGGCAAAATAGGACAAAGTCCCTGTATTAAAAATCAATGGTAAATGGCTGAGTTTTCCATCTTGGTTCTAATAGCCAGGGCTTAATCCAAGACACCTGCTTGCTTCACTGCTTTTGATCAGTGATCATCTGCTACAGTCCTTACTGACAGACGCAGCTATGAAGAAGTAGATCCAAAATGGAGGGATGAAATGAAGGTGAATGTGAATGAAGGGGAGAAAAAGGAGGAGAACAGAGAGTAAAACATATGAATATGATATGATGGCTCCAGTGGAGCCAAGCAGAAGAGGTGAGCTAGTGTTTTCTGGCTACATCCACTGACTTTCCAGGCTTTGGCGACCTGTCTTGTCCCTAGGTCTGGACAATGATTCTGATGTCATCTGTGGGAAGAACCACAGAAAGTAAGAACCTCTGTATTTAGAGGATAGATGTTGTCTAAAGAAAATTTTGCAGGTAAGCACAGTTTATCAAAAGTCTACAACCTGTAGGGAGATTGATGATGCTTTATGAATGATGCCTGCATCTGGTTCAGCTCCTTCTGCTTTATCACACACACACACACACACACACACACACACACACACACGCACACCCCACATTGCTCTTCATCGGGCTATGATGTATACCCTCTCTTGCATTCTTGAAAAACTCTGACTAAAATGATTAAAATGATCACTTCAATTCCATGAACTCACTATAGCAATTCTCCACCTCATCAAAAAGGTAACACTGGGCCAGTGCCACAGTTCTGTGGAATAAGCAACTGTCTGGCAAGCTCAAGGTCTCTATACCAAAAAAAAAAAAAAAAAAAAAAGTGACTAATAGTGTACAACTTTAATATCTAGAATCTGGCACAGTATTTGATCTATTCTTATTTCACAAATGGATAAACTGCGGCCTGATGATACAAGTGACTTATCCAGGGCCACAGAGTGATTCAAAGACAGAATGGCACAAGTTAACTAAGAACCTCTGTCAGGAGGAAAGTTTTCAGCTTGTAGCTTTTAGTGAGGCAATTTTTCTGCAACAATACTTTAGGACAGTCTATTTTCTCTAAACAATCCTGCTTCTTTCCTTATCTTCCACCTTTAGCTGGTGTATTTCACTTAAGGAGTTTTCTGTTTTCTTCCTTACTGAGGCTGAATCAACTCTTGTCAACTCATCAAAAACTTGCAAGTCTCAATCCCAACACAAAACAGAATTCTTTTTTCTTTTGCATATTTTAATTCTTCAGGGTTTTGTTTTATTTTTGTTGTTTGCTATATAACGGTTTATTTTTGTTTAGTCTAATCTATAACGAACAGGCTAATTTACATTCTGACAATTATATTTACTAGTCAGGCTTTTTTCTATTTTATGTAATTAACACTTCAAGTATTTGCTTCGGATTACTGCATGCTAATTTTGAATAAAACTAGTGAGATAACTTGCGTTTCCCCAGGTTTCATTCGTACCCTTATAAAGTATTGACGCTAATGCTGTCTAATGCTGTCTCTTTTTGCCCCCAACGCTTTTCGCCTAAGAACGAGGTTAAAACTACATACCGAATCTCAGTTTCCCGACCTGTATAAATCTCTTGATTTTAAAAGTTTCGTCCGGGGCTGGAGGAAGGTGGTAACTCTTCATGCACGGCGAGCACTCCCTGGCGGATCACCGAGGACAGCTTTCAGCTCCCGGAAAAGCCTCACGCAGTTTCCAGACCTTGACCGCTGTCTGCCTCGCTGGAGCCGCCAGAGGGCGCTGTGGCCCCGGTGCGTGGCGCCGTGCGTACCCTTCCCCGGCGTTCCCGGCACCGCCCTGTCCCGGCTTCCCTTGCGGGTAAACAGACATGGCTGATGAGGAAGACCCTCAGGAGGCTGCGCACAACATGGGCAACCACCTGCCGCTCCTGCCCGGTAACCTCCCAGGGGGCAAGTCTCCGGTAGCGGGTGGGGGGCGAGGCTCAGGGCCGCCCGCTGCAGGGTGGGGCCGGGAGGCAGGCGGGAGGTGGGCAGGAGGCGGGCCCTGGCAAGGGCGGCATTCCGTCGGCCTCCACCGGTGACCCAGTCCCAGCGCTCTTCTCCCGTGCTCGGCGGGGAAGAGGGTGTTGCTGCAAGGCTGCGACCGCCTCCGAGAGCAGGGCCCACGTCCTCTTCATCCTACCCTGTATCCTGAGCTTAATTCCTATTAAGGGCTCTGGACACTGGGCGACTGGGAATGCAAACGTTACTTTTCCTGAACGTCTGTCTTTGTTACTAAGAGTGACAGCTACTATTTGTTAAGTACTAAACCCTGCTAAGCGCCGTTCTTTAGGTACTGTTACTGACGGAATTTCTGCATTTACACCTCTCCAGAGCACTATTTGGATTACTGTTTGAGGGCGAGAAATGCATGGCTAAGTGAATTCAGTGACTGGCCAGGGTCACACAGTTGCAGAGTCAGGGCTCCAAGCCAGGTTGGTCTGTCAGCACAGCTGGTATCTCTTAACCACTTCTCTGAGACTACGATATTTTATGCCTCTTTTTCAGGCATGTAGGAATACGCTTCGTTTTAAAGTACTACTTAGGAGAGTAGTAAGTATTCTAGTTCCTCTATGCTTTGGAAAAATTTAGACCTCAGCCTTATCTAGGCGTGGAATAATTATGCAAGCTGTTTTAGAATGCTATAGAGAAGGCATGTTTTCCAAGAGGTGTATCTGCCAAACTATTACCCGAATCCCTTCATTATATTCTCAGACAGTGTTAGATGTTGTTACTGGAATGGAAAACGTTATGATACACAGTCTGATACTCAGGAGATTGACAGTCTCATTGAGGCTATTGAGAAGGATAGCTAGCTAGCAAGAGATAGTTAATTTGGTGCCACATAAATGAATATTGTTGTGGTCCTTTGAAGAAAGATATTGTTTAGGGATCTGTGGGATTGGGAAAAGCCTTATGAGGTATATCTGGAGACATCCAAAAACCTAGGATAGGGTTGTGGAAGACACAGCTTAGGAAATCGGTTGGGTATAAGTTGCTGGGCAACTTTATAGGAACTTTTTCTATAGGTTACTAAGAAGCATTTTCAAATTTTATGTTGTTGCCTAAAGGAACTTTAGGAGTATTAATTTTGGAGTATTAATTTGTCCACCGGGAATAGCATGGGTTGAAGGAGGAAGAGACAGAGGGAGTGCACATTGTGTATGAGACACCTTTTCTGTAAAAATAAACCATGATCAGAGTCGCTGGTTGTTGCTGAAGCCATCCTAGCTGAAATGATATAAAGGTAAGTGTGCCAGTCTTCAATAGAAGAGCTGAGCTGTTTTTTTCAGAGGCATCAGCCTCGCTCTGTATGTGCCAAATTCAGTATTTTAGGGAGAATGGTGAAGTTCTGTTGGCATTCACATAGTGCTCCTGCATGAGATGAGTCATCAGACTTCAACCTGGTAGCTTTGAAAAGTCAGCATGTTTTGCTTTCCAAAAAAAAAAAAAAAAAAAAATCAGAATTGACAGGGCCCATAGGGGTTGCAGAAAGTATATATTAGTTTTATTGAGAATCATTGGATTACTGATAAACCTGTCTGATACAAATTGAAGAATAATCCTTTCAAGTGCTAAGGAAATTAATATTTGAGAAGCTAAGAACCTATCCAGGTGAAATGAAAATTGATAGGTAAACATACCTGAGTGAGGAAAGTGGCATTTAGTCATATTTATGAGAAAGGCTACCATATATGAGAAAAATTAGAGAGTAAAAGGCAGGGATTAAAATTTTTAAAATACTAATTCTAGCCTTTGAGCTCTAATAGTTGATCTTTTAAACTTTCTGTATTAGAGGAATAAATTAGTCCTTTACCCATGCCAAGTGAAAGCTATGCTTTCAGAGTTGCAAATTCAAAAAATTCAGATTTTGTTCACGATTTAGATTTTTCTGTTTCTTCTTGGTGAAACTTCTGTGTTCTTAGGGAAAGATATGTATGAAGTGTTAGGCCAATGGTTATTTGCATATAAATTGAGACTGATTATGTTCTCTTTGATAAATCCTTATGTCTAGGAATTCAAAAGAATAGGAAGTCTTAGGCACCTGCTATATAATAAAACATTTGTATTTTCTGTCAGGAACCTAACAGGATGGTTTAAGTAATAATTTGCACTAAGGAAAAACATGACTGCTTTGTAATGCCACTTTATGTATTTGGAACTTTATTTGGGGAATTTAAGGATACATGAACAAAGAGGTCAGAAAAAGGAGATTTAGTGAGTTTTTATGGTTAATATAGACCAGTGTTTCTATCCTTGACATTTTTTTGCAACATACGCTGTAGAATTTTTTCTTACAAAGATGTTTAGTAGCACCCCTTGACATCTACTGTAGATTGCCAGTAGCATTATCCTTCTTATGATGACCAAAATATCTTCAGACATTTCTAAATATCCTCTAAGAGGTCGAATCACCCTGGCTCAGAATCACTAGTCTAAGATAGGAAATCACTAGTCTCATAGCTGGCATGAAAATGACAGATAACCACTTCCTAGAACAGCATATCTAGTAGTGTAGCTTTTTCTGAGTTTCATCCCTGTCATTAGATACTCGGTTTTAAAGTAGATCTTAGTTTTCTTAATCTTAAAAACTAAGTGTGGAGGAAACGTTGTAAAGATTTCCTTTAACTTTGTTTATGCTTCATGTCAACTTTATTTTTAAATCACAACGCAAAATTTGTATGAAAATGATTGCAAACATTTCATTATTAAGTATAGTGACAGCCAGATAAGTGGTGTCCTGGAAAAACGGTATGAAATTCTTTGTGTTCGGTTGTAATAATAGCTGTTTTCAATTTTAATTAACAGATCTTTTTATTGCTTATTTATTTTCTTTTTTTCTCATGTTGGAACTATATAAAGAGTTTGAAAGAACTTCAGAAATTGTCTTATTCAAGCCTGTCATTTTTCAGAAAAGGAAATTTAGATTTGGTCAGGTGGAATGCATCCTCTGGGGTGTCAAAATTAATTTCTGACAAGAGAGAAAAATTTCCCATACACAATTTCAAACAGTTTATGAGTTGTCACCCCTGCACCGCCCTTAAATTCAGATGTCACCTAGTGATTTGCTTTCAAAAAGTACAATGTGAGAGGAGGAGAAAAGTAAGTTTACAGTAGAGAAATGTGACAAGTGTTACTGCTGCTAAGTGGTTAAGGTTAACATCAGCAGTGGTTAAGTCAGGTTGATAGGATGTGCCCTTGATATATGATGAGAATGGCATTTCACTTCTGTTCTCTTCTTTCTCAAAACACCAAACCTCAGTCTAACCAGGAGAATTACCTCCATCAGTTGCTAACAGAGGCTATAAATATCTGACTAGTACTCTTCAAAATGGTGAAGGCCTTCAAAACCAATCTAAATCTGAGAAACCACACATGCCCAGAGGAGGATAAAGAGCCATGACAACTAGATGTGATGTGTCCTGGAGGGGATCCTCTAACAGAAAAAGGAGATTAGCTAAAAACTAATAGAAATAAAATGAGAGATTTAGCTGATAGTAATATACCAAAGTTGATTCCTTAGTTGTGATAAATACAAACTACAGCAGTAGATAGAAGTAGGATGTATAGGAATACTATGCTATCTTTCCAACATTTCTATAAATCTTAAACTTTCTATGAAGTTGATTCTTTAAAAATGGAATCCAGCCCTCTAGCTGTTTCTTCTCAGTACTGTGATTACCAAATATATGTGATGCTTCTAAAAACACTTTTTCTCAAAAAGGAATGTTGCAATTTAAAGGGGACATAGATTAGACATCTTTATGCATCCCATTGTTTTTTCTTATAATATTCTACTCCTGCAGCAGAGAGTGAAGAAGATGACGAAATGGAAGTTGAAGACCAGGATAGCAAAGAAACCAAAAAACCAAACATCATAAATTTTGACACGAGTCTGCCAACCTCACATACAGTATGTAACTTAATAAACCTAATGTAATAGGCATGTCAAAGAGTCTTTTTAAAAAAGTGTACTGATTTAAGTATTTTTGTATTTTATCTCATGTTAGAAACTGTGGATAAGAACATTGGACAAACATCTAATGTTATTTTTTCAGTAGATTAATGCATCTATTTTATAAACATAAAATCTTAATTTTTAAACAGTTTAATACGATATTTTAGTAAAATTCTTATGTAAATCATTGCCCATAGTTTGTAATTGAGCTATTATGTACACATTCTCTGTACTACTAAGTTTTGGACTGTTACTGAACATGTTACATTTTATACTTGTTGTGATATTTGGGCATAGACATGTTTCTTGGTCAAAAAAAGATATTTTGCAATGGAGTACTACTCAGCTATAAAGAAAGATTACATCGAGGCTTTTATAGGTAAACAGATACAACTTGAGACCATATTCATAAATGAAATAAATCAAACTCGTGTAAATATGGTATTGTCTCCCTAGTGTACGAAACTGAAAGGGCAAATCAGATCCAAAATCTACAATAAATACTGTGTAAGGGTAAGAAACTGCTCAAAGAGGAAAAGTAACTGGGATAGGGGAAAAGAGGAAAGAAGAAAGGAAAAAGACATAAATTTGTACATATATATATATATATATATATAGAGAGAGAGAGAGAGAGAGAGAGAAAGAAATAGAGAAACACACACGTAAGATAGATGACTATACTACTAATTCTATTAGTTCTTGAAAAAAAAAACAGTTAATACTCATGTTTAGATCAATTTTGCATTTCTGTATCTGGTAATCTAAGCAACCCTTTTGAAGATAACGGTATGCAATATGACAACCATTGTTAAGTTCCTGTTATCTTGTTTTGAAAGCCATATTGTTACAATTTAGGATTTGTTGATTGTCTCTTGATTTTTGTTTTTCTTTTGTGTGTCTTTTTTTTTCTTAAGTAAAAAAGTAAATTAAGACATTTTGTTCTACAAAAGTTTCTTGAATTTGTGTGTAGATGAGAAATTCATAAAAGAGGAAAATTCTAACAAAATAATTAGATGAAAAATTAGATTTTCATGTAGGGTGCTTATATATCAAGTTTCTTTTATATAAGTAAATATTTTTACTGTTTCTTTGGATCTGATTTGATTTGTTTATTGAATTTTACTGTGTATCAGTCATGACACTGTGTCTGTGTATTTTTGAACAGTACCTGGGTGCTGACATGGAAGAGTTTCATGGTCGGACTCTGCATGATGATGACAGCTGTCAGGTGATTCCAGTTCTGCCCCAGGTGATGATGATCCTGATTCCGGGGCAGACTCTACCTCTACGGCTTTTTAGCCCTCAAGAAGTCAGTATGGTGCGGAACTTAATTCAGAAAGATAGAACTTTTGCTGTTCTTGCATACAGGTAAAATATTACATTTGCTAAATGCATTTCCTCTTCTGTGGAGTTGCAGCAGAGGTCACTGGTAAAGCCAACTGGGAGTACAGTTTTGCATTACAGGACAGACAGGCTGAGAGTGTGAAGTAAAGAATTTTGGGAGGAAATGGTTTGCAAGTACAAATTGCAATATATTTTCATTTCCATGTAAGCCAGACTTTAGCATCAGTTTAGTCTTCTGATCTTTGAAGACTTTTTACTCATGAATATTTATTAAAATATTTCTAAATGTGTAGTTTCAAGAACTGTCTTTATTTAAACAAAACTGGGGCTTTCATATTACAGTATAAAGGATTAATTTTCTAAACAGTGATTTCTTCTTTCTTTTTCTCAAAATTCTTAAATTTTACCAACACAAACCTGTGTAAACTGAAGTTGAACTTAAAAGTATCAAGTAGCACATGGAGGAAATCTGTGAAAGAGGCAGGAAACAAATACAGGAAGTTCCCACCTAACACAGAGCTGCTGATTAACAGCAGAACTGATGGCTTAACAAAGTGAAAGAATGTTTGGTTTGGATAATATTTTAAAAGACTTGGTCTTAGATGATTTCAGTGAGTAATCATCAGTTCTTTCCCTAAGGTACTCTAACTGAGCATCTTGAAGCATCCTTGTATATTCTCTACGTTATTTAAAATAAAATTATAGTAGCTTTGCAGTGAGAGTGGCTTGCTGTACATTGTTTTCCTGTGTGTACTGCTTTTGTCATCTATGTATTTAAAAATGCTCAAAATTTTCTTCCTTTTAAAATTTACCTTGCAAGTAATATACAGGAAAGGGAAGCACAGTTTGGAACAACAGCTGAGATATATGCATACAGAGAAGAACAAGACTTTGGAATTGAAATAGTAAAAGTGAAAGCAATTGGAAGACAAAGGTTCAAAGTCCTTGAGCTAAGAACACAGTCAGATGGGTAAGAAAAACCGCATGTCTTACTTAAAGCGTTGTGAACAGCTCATAGTGAAATGTTTTTTTTCTTACGTTTTTTCTGTTTTACTGACCCCTTATATTTTCTAACTTTTTTACTAGTGGTTTCCTTTCTCTTATGAGGTATAATCTAGTGATTTCTAATCTTACTATGTTTCAGAATTACCTGTAAAAGTTTTAAAACCCTAGAAGCTTGAGTTCTGATTTTATCTTTCATTTCCCCAGAGAGTGGTGTAGCCCAAGGTGAGGCTGTAGCATCTTTAGTGATTTCCAGGTGATTTTAGTATCCCTCCAGGTTTGAGAATAGTAATGCAAAGCCAAAGATAAGTGTCATTTGCGGCATGGATTCTTTGGGATGAAGGTTTCCCTTCCAAGGGGAAAAGCATGGGGAGACCAGAGGCTTCTGAGCTTACTCTGTTCCCCAGGATAGATGCGGTGTTGACAGTCATGCTAATTAGCATCTTCGAACTGCTTCATCTGAATTGTGTATTTACTGCCTCTCTACAGAGTGGATTTTGTGTCACCCAGAAATGCAACTAACAAAAGTGATCTATAAATATTTCTTATCTCTTAACCTTATAAATTGTAGAAGATCTCTGAGTATATTAGCTTTACTTACTTGTTTTGACTCATTTCACATGGTTAGAATTTTCCCTGAAATTAAGGAATACCACATTTTTAAACAATCCAGTTCATCTTACTTTATCCTCTTTAAAAAAAATACAGCAAATGAATGAAGCAAACAAAGCATTTGTATAGGCTGTTAGATGTTACCTTTTATGGAAGTGTTTCTCTTTTCTGGCATATACAAATCATTTATGAAGTTTTATAGAGATTCTTGGGTTCTACTCCTGCTAATGAATTGAGTGAAAATATCATCAGGCCTCTGTATTACACATGCAATTCAGAATACAAGAAGGTTGGGGGGGTTGTACTAGAATTTTATTTTAAAGAGAGTAAACAGAACAAAGCAAATCAGAAAAAAACAATGCAGGCAACACAGGATTTCAAAACAAGACAACAGGAAATCAACAGTGGCTACCATAATGTATGTTAGAATTTTAAAGGAAATGTCATCTCTGTGAGGGCAGGATTGTGTCCGCTTGTTAACATAGTGGGCATTCGTAAGAGTTATTGAACCATGAAACTTTAGATGTCAGGCAACCTTGTGGACTAGAGATTGGATAGAGGAATATGGGATGGGGTTGCTAGAACTCTTGGAGATTTACTTGTTTCCTAGCCCCATATTTGGTATATAAACATGTTCCCAAAACATTCACTGTACAAGCTCTCACAAGTCCTTAAAGGGTTGTATGTCTGCCTCTCTCCATGAATGACCTAAGACTTATTTATGTTCTACATTTAGGACCATAAATGTTACATGAATATATGAAAGAAAGATCTCTGCATTGTGATAATTTTCCAGTTGTTTTATAACTGTAGATCTTGCTAACAGTGCCATTTTGAAAGTACTTATATCCATGTACCTGGACAATTTTGATTATTTTTGAATACTCTTTCAAGAAACAGTGACATGAAATCAGCTTCATGAAACATTTCTCAAACCAAATTCTTTGATGATACTTGTGGAAAAACTTTGAACACAAGATGGCAGTAGATCACTAACTCTTTAAACAGGCCAAGGAAGATAGCTGGACTTTCGTGAGGATTAATGTCAAACTATTAGAGCCAGAAAAGTCTTAGAAAAGTTACATTACTGCTAGTAATTTTTAAATTATATGAAGGCCCCCAAAAGTGTGTTTCAATTTAAAAGACTCTGGGCAGTGAGATTTCTTTGGCTCCACTACCCCCCTAGAACTACCCTTATTTAAAACAATGAAATCAAGGAAACTATAGAGATAATCTAGTCCAATGCATATATGAGACCATTTGTCTTTTTTCTAAATGATACTTCTTATATAAAAGTATATTCATGCCTAAATAATCTTCCTAAAAGTCTTCTGCCTCATTTTCTGAATGCATGACTTTCTTTTAAAATTAAAAAAAAACAAAAATGAATTACTGTAGTTTGCTTCAGAAGTTCCTATTTGTTAGTTACAGAGGAAGAGGGGGTTAACATCCTCTTGGAATTACGACAGAACTCTTAACTGTCATAATTTAGATAATGTTAGTCAAAAAAGCTATATACAGACATGTGTATATGCTGTAAACATTTCATTTTAATTGGAAATGGCTGTAGATGTTTTGTGCTTTCATTTTGCATTATCTTCATTTTTGTACCCTTGGTTTTTCTTTAGAGATTCTAAAGCCATCACAAGGTGATTTCAGTGTCAAATCATTCCATATTTGTGCAATTCCTTCTAAACTGTTAGTTCTGTGTTCTAATTTGAAAGGAAGTTTAATGTTTATTGAGGTAATTTTATTTTTATACTCAGATTTCTGTTTTTTCCCCCTAACATTTATATAAATTATGTTGCAATACTCATGAAACAACTGCCATAAACAGGTTGGGAAGAAACAAAACTAGCTTAAAGTTCTTCTCTGAGAGCTGAGTTAAAAACAAAACTCAGCTTCTCACAGAAGAACCAGACCTGTATGTACCCAGGAGCTTTGGCTCCTGGGTTGACCAGAGAAAAGGACATAACTTCCTGCCAGGTAGTTCCAGTGGCAGATGAGTTTATACCATGATTTCTAAGCCACTGGTTCCATAACATGATTGCTTTTATCATAATAAAAAAAAAGTCTTCTACTGACTAGGTAAAGCATAATTTTTCAGTTACTGATAAACTTATGAATCAGATTTCTGAAAGCTTCCAAAACATGCTATAAACTTTTACCTTAAGAATACAACTGTGAAACTATTGTAGTTAATGCTTTAGGGATGTAAAAATTGAAGTTTTTTGTACAAGAACATAATACATGAACATTTAGCCATAGTTTGAACACAGTAAGTTTTTCAAGAACATTTTTCCAAAGTCCTGGACTCATACATTTTCTGAACATTTTAATGAGCATGCCAGCAAGGGAATAAAGTGAGCAGAGTGATTGTCTGGTATTATGTTAGAACTAGATATGTTAGTTTACTCAGCTATTTCAATTAATGAGTAAAAATATCAGAATTTTATTTACAACTTTTTGTGGCTCAATAGTTATTATGAAAGACTGCTTTAGGGTCTTAAAATAGCAAAAAATGAAGCAAAGACTTTAAATATATTTTATTTTTGTCAGTTGGAAAGTGTTTTGTTCTAGCATGTGGATTTTGCGTAATCTTCATTTCAGAAATTACATAAAAGGAAACACAACACCTCATAGGAAGATGCAAAAATATAACCTTTCCACTTACATTATTTTGTGATATTTACAATTATAATATTATCAGCAGATTGTTGGAAATGATGACTTTTACACAGTAGGCTAACCTTTGTTTTTTTTTCCTTTTTGTGTCTTTTTGAGATAGGGTTTCACTATGCAGTTCAGGCTGGCCTTGAACTCACTTCATAGCCCAGTCTGGCCTTAAACAGTTTTTAAGTTAAGAAAAATATAATGCATACTTTGATCACTTGCAAATCAAAATTTTGAGAATGAGAAAAGGAATGCATATAGAAATACAGACTTACGTGTAATATTCTAGTCTTTTTTTTTTACTATCCATATAGATAGGTTTGTAATTTTTTTTCTACCTGTTCTTTTCTCTACCTGTTCTTCAGGTGAGATGACAGACAAGATAGATTGGGGAGCACCAGGGAGTAGGGCAGATGGGAGGGTTGGGGTGTGCCAGTAGTCTACAAAATTAACTTACAGGTGTCAAGCAGTAGTAAGTTAAATTATGATTTTTTTTAAAAACACAATTTATGACTGTTTTTCTGAAACACAGATTTTCGTTTCAATTCCACAATGAAATTGAAAGTCCTACAGGTTATCATTGGTATTAATTTTGGTGTGATTACCTATTTTCTGAAAATTTCTTGTATATTAGCATTTGGGTGAATGTTGAAAACAGAAAACTCAGAAAGTCACCATATTAACAATTATCAATGCTTAGAAACTTAGAGTTTGAGTTAGTTTATCTTAAGAATGAACATCCTGCTTGGTTCTCTTTATTTTAGAATCCAGCAAGCTAAAGTGCAGATTCTTCCTGAATGTGTATTGCCTTCAACTATGTCTGCAGTTCAGTTAGAATCCCTCAATAAGTGCCAGATATTTCCTTCAAAACCTGTCTCATGGGAAGACCAGTATTCATGTAAATGGTGGCAGAAATACCAGAAGGTGAGAACAAATTTTTTATGCATCTTCAAAAAAATTAAGTCAGGTTGCTTTTTCCTATTTTAAGAAAGAATACAAACAAGATTCATGATTCATTCCCAGACACCTTCTGTGACAGTGCTCTAACTGCATTTGAGTATAGTTGGAGCTTCTAAAAATTTCAGAGGCAGCTATTTATGAAAAATAGTTTTCAGCAATAGTAATTCAAAGCATTCTTAATATTATGCATATCAGTCTTACAGTAATGCTTATGAATTTTAATTAGAAACCTGAAAATTTTGATCAGGTTGTTTGGTTATTGAGCCATAAATGTATATTACTACTTTAAAGGGAGAGGGCTGGAATGAGGTGGCATAGAGTGAAAATAAAACAGTAAAATGTTTTCTTTCTTCCAGACATTTTATAGAAAAGTTTTATCTGTTTTAGAACATGCTGTTGACACACAAAAAATTGGCCTGAAAACTTGATGATCTTTGAAAGAATTGTTTATTTGGGCATTAGTTCTTAGTTACATCATTTTGGCAAAATCATCCTTTTTAGGGAAAATAATACAGTGGCCTCTTTTTATTCATATGTGGTATATACCTTTAAAAGTAAAATATTCAGTACTAATGCTTTTGCCTAAAAGTTTACTGATCTCTACATTTAGACTAAGTTGGTTTTTTTGAGATCTTCTAAAAATATACCAAGACAATTTACATTGTGATAATTTTTTGGTAATCATGCCTTACTCTTTGTCAAGTAGTGATGATTTTAAATTTTTGTATAAAAGACCATAAGACCCTAATTTGATGTAACGTAGCAACAATATTATTCCTAAAGAAGGCTAATATTCTTCGCTGCACTGCCACTTTTAATGTACTTTAAATTCTCCAGTTTTCAGAAAGAACTTTGTGTAGAATAGTCTTTGATGTCTGTAGACATTTTGGTAGATTCAGTTAATCAGTCTTATATGGTAATGTGTTTGAATGAATGTTTCTGAGAAGAGTCTAATAAAAGGTATAGATTGCTTTGAGATTCCCCAGCTTCCATGGAGGTAGTATGTTGCAGGGAAGTGTTATATAGCCATGAAAACACTTTCTTTCCCAAATCTGTCACAATTACTTATTTTTAACCTCTCTTCTTTTTTTTTTTTTTTTTTGTTTTTTGCTTGTTTGTGTTTTGGGGGCTTTTGTGTTTGTTTTTTGAAAAGAGTTTCACTATGTTTTTCAGGCTGGTCTTGAAGTCCCTTTGTAGCCCAGGTTGGCCTCCTACTTGTAGCAATCTTCCTGCCAGAGCCTTTCAGGTACTGGGACTACAGGTGGGCATCACTATACCCAGCTGTTCCCTATTTCATTTAACAGCAGTGAGAACTTTTGCTCCCATAGTGATTTTAAACATGATTGTTGAAATAAGTACATCAAGGAGAGCTCCTTCAATAGGTGGGCTCTCAATGTGTGGTTTTAGGGATCACATCAGGTGTTACCTAATGTGGGTGTGGCAAGGTCATTGTATCAGGATGATCCCTATGTTTCATCTCAGTCTTAACATTTATTTCAATTACTAGATAATTTTAGGAGGTGTTACTTAAATTTATATAGTAGTTCTTCCATACCAGAATGGGTTATAAAGCTTTTTAACTATTTAAAATCTCAGTTCCTCTTTGCAGACTTTTCAGTGTAGGGTAAAAGCAAATGTAGTTTATACTTGACAAGCGCACTGTACAACTGATTTGCTTTATGCTGTCAGCATCTTTTCATTTTAAACCTGAACTTCAATTAAGCAAATAAGGTTGTTGTTAAATTTAATTTGTGTGTGAATTTTGTGATTAAAATCTTCCCATTCTGTGGTGAAAGTACCACAGCATAATCACATTGAATTCAGAATTTGCATTTTGCAACTGGGTTGACTGGCTCATCAAGAACAAGGAAAGACACACTTGCAGAGACCAAGGAAGCATGTATGTTAATTGTTTGGAATGAGGTTCTGTGACCTTTCATGTTGTCTTTTTTCTCCATTCTGGACTCTTGCACATTTTCTCATGTATTTCCATCTAAAAAGTTAGCAAGGGCTAAACAGAAGGTAGTAAAGAATGAATTAGGTGGGTAAATGATTTAGGAAATGGAAATGTCTTAACCTCTGTACAGTATATTTTCAGATTGTTGGAAGAGTTCTCTTGTTTAAACTCCTGGGATGTTTTAGTGTGAAATTTGGGATTTAGATTACTAAGTCAAGAAAATTTCTTAGTCTGTTTCAAACCCAAATCTATAAACTCTTCTGCTTTAAAGAGATACTTCGATGTGGAAGAAAAACTGGAATCTAATATAGAAAAGGGGGCTGGCCGATAACATTGGTGGGACCTCTGCATGCTGCACTAATAGCTGGACTACTAGGTGACAGTAGAGCTAGATTATGAAAGTGTTTTTCTTAAACAAAATTTACAAGTCATTTCACTCCCCTTCATAGAATTTACTGGCATCTGATGTACAGTCCACCATAAAAAGAGGGAGAGCATTTGTTTTTTGTTTCCTTGTCTGAGTAGTAGTTTAGGTGGTCAGAGCTGAGGCAAGATGCTCACGTGGTTCTACAATGACTTAAGCTGATTAAGTTGCCACACACTTAATCAGAAAAGTTAAAGGATCCAGGGCATAGACCTCATGAGATGTATTCAGTTAACTCTGAAAGTTTTCACATACTTCTAACATCTTCCAATGAAAAGTAAACATCCTAGAAGAAATAACATTTTTATGTAGTTGTTTTTTAAGTGCGTCTTTATTCTAAATCACATCCTATGAAAGGAATGTCCCCTTGATTTTTTTCTTTCGTGAAATGATTTCAAAACAGCTTGAATCCATGTTTTATATTAATATAATCACCACTTTTTTTCAGCTGTTGCATCATTTTGTTAGCATTTTCTGACTGTTGATTTTCCATTCATTTGAATTGGCAACTTTATTACAGACCACGTTTGTTTGTTCAGATTTTGTTTTGCTTTGCTTTGCTTTTGATAGTGGGAACTGAACTCATGACCCAGTGCTTGCCAGCCAGGCACGGTGCTGCTGAGTTATATATACAGCCCCAGACCAAGTGTTTTTTAAATTTTTACTTGTATTCAACTGGTTTCTCAACCTTTGTATTTACCATGCTGTTAGACCTATTGGCAGTTTATAAATTGTGTAAGTAAAAATATGCCCAATTTATTAAATGCCCATCAAATGTATTCTTCATAGTAAAATAATCATTTTTGTAGTATAAAAAAGTATAGTATCAAAGTGTAATTTAACTTGACATTTATTACCAAGTTAACAGAAACCAAAAATAACTTACATATAAATAAACTCCAACCATGAAGAAAATGGGATGTGACATGTTACTGTTATCAAGAGCAGTACACTAAGTGAGGGTCATTACCATTTGTTCTGCCATCACCAATGAACAAACTACTCAAAGACCTCTGAAATTCTTTATCTGGATTATCCTGACAAATTCTAGAAGCTCTATTTACAAATAAATTTAGTTGATTTAATATAAGTTTCATATTTCCAATGTGCTTTATATAATTACACAAGCTGAAGAGAAGTATAGTACAAAAGATTAGTTAGCTTTTCCAAAACAACTGTCCAGCCTTTGAATCTCTTCAATATCCTAAAACATGTAAGTCCCATTTAGCTTTTGGTAGTACTATCTGGGTAATACTGTTGATAAGTTCTAAACATTTACAGACATTTTTCAAGATCAGCACCACAATTTTATTTCATAAAATGGTTATACCTGAAGGAAAACTTAAAACCAGAGTCTAGGCTTTTAAAATTGTCCAGTGACTGATACTTAAATAGTATTCACTTTGGGAACAAGATTTACTGAGATCAGGCCTAAAGGTCCGTAAAATGATTCTGTTACCCAGAAGTAATGAATGTATTGCCTTTTTCAATCTTTAAGCCTCATAGCTACAGCTTTTTCTTTGCCTTTCAACAATACAGAATGTGAAACCACCACCCCCAAAAGTGAAACTCCAATTAAATAGGTCTTTGAAGTGCAATGAAATTGAAAAGCTGATTGTATAAAGCTAAATACAGTGACTAATTACCCCTGATTTCTTTTATGTGACAGAGGGCATTCATTGTTCCATTAAATGCTATTAGAATTGCAATTTAAATGATAAAATAATTTTAAGTAAACCAGAACCCATTGGATTTTCTTCTTTTATTTACTAAATATCTATTTGATAATGAGAGCTAGAACTGAATGGTTAGTTCTTTACTACTCCTGAGGCTTAGGTGATAATGGCAGATAGAGATATCCAGATACGTATACCTATATAGATCTGTAAATCTATATATAACCTATATTTACACATATGTAATTACATGTACATATGATGCATGCTAGGGAAATCACTAGTTTGATGAAGGCTTTTGATCATGCATATCATACAAAACTTAAAAAAGAGCAACTCCCACAATACTTGAAGCAATTTTTGTGTCCCCTTGAAAGACATTCCAAAACTAAACACTTCAACTTAAGACATTTTGTTTGACAATGGAATTTCTTATTTGTGATCATTGTGAATAAAGCAGCATTGTTATTTTCTTAGATTCCAGCTTTGTCATATAACTAGATAAAGATCACAGGGAAATTACAGAGTGTTTACAGTTGTGCAGCACATTTCATAACCATCGGGTTCTCTTAGCCTTCATGAATGTGATGTCCCTATTTCATTTTTAATCTTGCAGATGAAAGATAAGATCTTTATTTTGTTAAGTATTATCTTTTCTTGTTCTGATCTGTTTTGGGTTTTTTTTTTAATTGGCTTGTTTCCCTTCCAGTTTCATGTATCATGTTGTTTTTTCCTATAGTGAACAATACATTTATACCATGTAGAATCTGCTTTTTGAGAAAAATATGAGCATTTTTATATTCTATAGGTTTAATGTGGTTTGCAGGTCGATCCATGTATAGTATATATCCTGGTAGCATTCTGATGTTTAACTATCACCATGTTGATATCCTGTTTGTTTCAATTAACAGCACCAATACAGTATCCTCTTTTTTGTGTGTCCTACAGAAATTTGCTTTCAAAAATGTTTTATCCTTTTATTCCTCTAAACTTTAAATTATGCATATAAATCTCAATCTTATTGGCATTATGTTAAATATATACATTGAGGATTGACATCACTATTGAATCTTCCCATCAAACACTGTCGTTCTATAATGTTTACATTTTTATATGGATTTAGGCAGCCTTTTATTTGGATCCCAAATTAACAGTAGGAGGAGGTATACAATGGATTTTCTCTTTTTCCTGGCCTTTAGGAAATGGAGAACTTAACTGTGAAGTCTCAAGTATATGATCATTTTATCATTTTGGAGATTTCATCACGTTTACCTTTTTTTTTTTTTTTTTTTTTTTTTAAGGTACCAGGGATTGAGTGTACCAGGCAAGCACTTGATCTGTTGAGCCAAATCCCCAACCCTCCATCACTATAAAGACATCTTGAAATGTATTCTTAGATTTTTCACTGTGAATAAGCTGCAATTCAAATATAGTGTTTAAATAAAAAATTTATTTTAGTAAAGACACATTGCATTTTTCCTCTTCCCCTTGCTATAAACACACTTAATCCATCATTCTTGCCACTTTGTAAAACAGTTCTCAAAGTCCTCTTTTGAGAGTATCTTTACAAGGAATGGTAAAAATGCTGCTAAGTACCATACAACAGAATGCCAGACTCATAAAAGCATTACACTGTGTCCTTATCTACCACCAGGTCTGGCACTGTGCGACTTTCAGTTCTCACTTAAAATCAAAATGACCAGAAAGGTAAATATTCTAATTTAGGATACTGAGATCAAGCCAGTGTCCTTTGACTATAAATTTTTTAAACTTTTTAAGCATTCACCATATTTTTCAATGAAAGACAATTACTAGGATAAAGGCAACTGATACGCTTATAATAGAAGGTCTATGGTTTTGTTTTGGTTTTTTTTTCTAGAGGTTGACATTGTTTTACTAAGTCACCTTTCGCTTTAAAGTTTTCATTCACATGCTCCATGATGGTGGAGTCCAGCCACATATACAGTGATGTCTTGTGAGATTGTAATGGGGTAAAAAAATTCAATTCCTGTCACCTGTTGACCTAGTAACTTTTGTAATGTCAGTGTATGCATAACATCAGAGCATCAGGCAATAACATGTTTAGGTATGCTGGTGCAAACAAATCTAAGCTAATACGTATCCTAGTTTTTTTGTTTTTTGCAGTATTGGGAATTGGCTATGGTTTAGTTTTTAACAGAGGCATTTAAGAAGTTTGTAGATAAAACAAAGCTTAACATAAATGTTTCTTACAACTGTACAGTAAGTTTTAACCTAAGTGTTATTTACTGTAAGAATTACAGTTTTTAAACATTAAGTTTATGGAGTAGAAAAATTATAGTAAGCTTATTACTGTAGAAAAATTTACATAAAGTTAGCATAGTCTAAGTTTATATAAGGACTGTAGAACAAGGTCCTAGGCTTCCAATGCATTCTCCTCTCTCTCCATGACTTACTTCGTGTCCAGCGTGCTCTGTAGAGCTGGGTGAGTGCCCTATCTGAGTATACCATTTTTTTATTCTTTTAGATGATATTTTCACTGTACCTTTTCTATGTTCAGATATACAAGTATTTAACCATTGTGCTACAGTTGCCCGGAGTACTCAATATTGTACTTCGCAGTCTTAAAAGTAGTAAGGTATACCATGTAGCCTGGGTATGTAGTTACACCATCTGAGTCTGTGTAAACACTTTCTCTGATGCTTATGCAATAATACTGTATAATGCATTTCTCACAATGTATCTTTCTCATTAAATGTGTGACTATATTTGAACTTTTTCAGTAGGAATGAGGATAGAAAAGCATGACCATCAAATGTGACTGATAACCATTTGTTACAGAATTTAATCTACAAAATCTCCTTCCCAGATGTCACTCTTACTGATACAATCTTTTGTGCTCACTTTGGCAGCACATATACCAATATAATCTCTTTTTCTAATTTTTTAAGTGACTTTTATTTTTCTGCTTTCAGAGAAAGTTTCACTGTGCAAATCTGACTTCATGGCCTCGCTGGCTATATTCGTTATATGATGCCGTAAGTAACTTACCTTAAGCTACTCTTCTGTGAGAACTAATGCCATTTATTATACGTAATATAATAGCAGGCAGGAGTCAGAGGTGTTGCTAGATATTCTTTGTTTCTTATTTATAGATTTTTTTTTTTTTAGTTTCTAGTGCTTTGAAAGTTAAGGGCAAGATGTGACTTTTTAATGTTTATTAAGCATCTGAAATCCCTTTGAGTTGAGTGGCAATTACAGAAAATTCTTATAGTGTTTGAGTTTTCTCTAAATAATACTGCCTTTTATCTCCAGATCACTAATCAGTCTACTAATACATCCACGAAAGCTTTTGCTCCTCAAAATTTTAACACGAAACACACTAAGAGTCTGGAATGGTTCAAAGAATCTTGGTGTTTAGGGCTGGTAATATACATGAGGCTCTGGGTTCAACCTTCAATTCCAAAAAAAAAACGTGGTTTTGGAAATAAAAGTAGGTTCAAAGCCCATTTTCTATCACTTTGGGCTGCAAACTATCACTACAAATTCTCTTTAAGTTTATAGAAAATGAAGATAGTAGCAGCAGTTACACATGGTATATGGTCAGCATTCAACAAATATTCATTTCCTTAGTAAATCGGTTCACGCACAAATCTGAAGTCTTGGGAAAACTAAAGAAGTAGGTTTTGTGTAATTACAATGTATACACCTCTAAAGGAAACTAGTAGTTTATGAGCCATTGTACAGACAGACACACTATACCAGAGTACTTTTTTGAATGCCAGTTAAAAGATAATACAGATGGTAAATAAGAGCCACATAAAGTATATGTCAGGATACTGGGCGGAAGGGAGGACAGCAGGCAGGCAAGCAGACAGGCAGGCGAGGCTGGCTTCCTAAAAAGTGAAGAGGCTTCAGCCAAGGGAAAAGAGGCCAGTTCCAAGCAAGAACCTAGAACAGAGCATTCCCAGATGAAGTGTGTTCCATGGGATAGACAGGTTGAGGATGAGGAAAGCATGGGAGCTGGGCTTGGTTATTTTTGCAAAACAAAGCAAAGACACTGAAGCTTGGACTCATAGGTCTGGGATTTCATCACATAGCAATGACTCTAAATATTACCAGCATATTAGAATTTTACTGCAGAAAACTGGAAAAGCTAACAATAAATGTTAATAAGTATGAATTTTATTATGACTATTTTAAGGAAACTTTAATGGATAGAATTAAGAAACAGCTACGTGAATGGGATGAAAATCTAAAAGATGATTCTCTTCCTTCAAATCCAATAGGTATGAAAAATTAGTTTCTTTCCTTTGGCCTTGATATGTTGCTGAAAGAAATTTAAGAACTCCTCTAGCTGATAATTATGAAGATTTTTAGGTTAAACTGGTTAATATTATAATGATGTAAATATTCACATACCCTTTGCTTTAGGCTACTGAAAAATATATTCTGTGAATACTTGTATTCAGTTTTTCCCTAAGTTCAAATTGCAGTTAAGTGGCTTTCCAAAAATATTCCCTGCAGGTAGATGATCTTTTCCTGGTTTTTTAACTTTACAAGTGACTTCATATATAGGACTTCATGTATAATCTCTATAACCAGTTAAGTGACTTGAATGTGGACTTGATATCCATTTTTAAAAGGAAGAAAGCAGCTGCTTTATTTAGAACTGCTCTGTTTCAAAAGAACATCTGATTAAAAGTTATCTGATGTTTATCTGATTTATAAATTTAAAAACCTGAAAATTTCACCATGTCTTTAAGATTTTTCTTACAGAGTAGCTGCTTGCCTTCCTATTGATGATGTTTTAAGAATTCAACTACTTAAAATTGGCAGTGCTATTCAACGACTTCGCTGTGAATTAGACATTATGAATAAAGTGAGTAAATGTGTTTGTGATGCCCATGTATTACATGTACCCATGATTCTTAAGAAAACTGAATGCTCGGTTGGGACCAATAAAGCTATCTCTAGGGTCCACAAAGCTATCTCTATGTAGTCACACAGAGAAAGTTGTTTACTTGTCATAGTTTGCATTGAAAATATTTTACAGTACATGTTGAACATTGCTAAAAAATTTTGTACCATTTTGGTGATAGAAATATTGAACAAATTTATGCAGATACTACAAAATCTGAAAAAAAATTCCTAATCTGAAACACTTCTACTCCCCTAGAAAAGATATTCAGCCTGTAAATTTTAAAATTTCAGTTGAGATCGTGCCTATTTAAATGTAAAATCTTCCTGTATTTCTAAAAAATGAATGTATTTTTGAAAGCTTGTGAAAGCTATGGAACATTTCTGGTAATATCACTTTTAAAAATTCTAGAAAGTCATTTAGTTTTATAAGTGAATATTTAGCAGGTCTCAAATTCAGAGTTTTTCTTGTTCCTCAGTAAACCTAAGTTTTTCAGTGGCTGGAGAGAGGTATGCGTTACAAGTTTCTTGATGAACTATGTAATTACTTAATAATGAATGCCAATTTTTATCACTAATAATTTTCTCAAAATTTTAGTGTACTTCCCTTTGCTGTAAACAATGTCAAGAAACAGAAATAACAACCAAAAGTGAAATATTCAGGTAAGACCTTGTATTTCTAGTATTCTTCTGAATATATTGCCTCTTACCTTAGTATTATAATCAAATCTGTGTTTTAGCTTTCTATTTATTTCCCTACACTGAATAAATTAAGGAGAATTAAGTTTTAGGGAAGGCTGTCTTCCAATTAGGAGACGCAAACAATGGATATGTAAGACAGCATTTATAATTAATAAGCATGGTAAAGTAAAACATAATCCTTTTTCCCAATTCTTGTTGAAAATCTTAAGTACTAGAATATTTCCTTAGTGCTTAAAGGCCTATTCCAAATGCCCATGACATTATATTTCAGTCAGTCCTCATTTTTGCCACATAAAGTAAGGCATGTTTCTGAACATGTACTAACAATGGGAATTATTCTATGATAAATTCATCAGAATCATAATCAACGTTAAAAAAACTCATGTCTACAAAGCAGTGAATTGATCAGGTAACTGTTAATTACACATAATGTTTAGGAGAGTTTTAATACTAGTATTATTTCCCTTAGGGTCATCTTAGAAAGTATTTAACTGAACAAAACAGGGATGTCTGCCGACTTCTTGTTTTACTACTAAGGTCATGGTACTACCCAAAAGATTAAGTTTAGCTTGTACCTCATTGCTTAACTTTAGGGAAAAAAACAAACTAGCATGTTTCCTTTTTTCCTTTTCATATTGAACTATTATTGATTTTTGTTTTAGTTTATCCTTATGCGGGCCAATGGCTGCTTATGTGAACCCTCATGGGTATGTGCATGAGACGCTGACTGTGTATAAAGCCTGCAACTTGAATCTGACAAGCCGGCCTTCTACAGAGCACAGCTGGTTTCCTGGGTAATACAGCAGTGGTGTTGCTTTGTTTTGTTTCTCTGTTTTTTCCCTTAGTTGAGTAGAAAAACCCAGCTACAATTGTAATAAAAATAGGTATGATATGAATAATTTTGTTGAAATGCTGTGTGGCCCATAAATGGATAGAAACATCTATTATACTTTTTAAATCTTTTCTGTAATATGTAAGTTGGTGATCAAAGGTCAATCAATAACTGTCATTGTCCTCGAATTACTACAGTTACCCCAAAGGTATTTTAATTTTCTGTCACCTCATTGTGAAAATGTTATTTTATGACTTAGTAAAACTATGTGTATGTTATATCCTGTGGTAATATAAAAGGAGAGTGGGTTTTACAAGCACTAACAGACTAACAAGATACAGACACCACTGAATCCTGCTTTTCTCTTCGTTTACATAGTTTTAGCCCTGGGACAGATACTGGGAATCTGTTAATAGTCCCTTCTGCTCTATTACCTTAAGGAGCTTGATTTACCTTTTAGGTTGAAAAAGGCATGCTAACTAGTGGTAATAGTTCTTGTCCTGGGGTTCTTATTTGGCAGTCTTCTTCCAGACTAAAACTATAATTCATTTGTTAATACTGAGTGCTAAATGTGAGATATTACACCTAGGGGAAATTAATTGTTGCAGTTACATAGTATATCTTAAAAACGAAAGTGCCATGAATTTGTACTTCTGAATCTTATTTTATAATGGTAGTTCTAAAATCTTATGTGGAACATCCCCTCGCCTCATCTAATGAAACTCAAGACAAAATTAAGTGTATATTTATATAGGTGATTGCAGTACAGAACAACAAAGGAAAAGCCAGTGAAAATTTAATGAATTGTATAAGGAAAAATGTAGTAACTTCTCTTTAAAATGAAGGGAAAATTTAAACATGACTTTAAGAGTAAGTCAAATCAGCTTCATGGCCGCTTAAAAGTTGCTATCACATGAAATGCACAAATGAGAAAATATTTTTCAGGTTTCTTTTAAATAATTGTGGATTAAATCTTGACCCGTAGTGTTTATTCATTAAATCCTTTTGAAATTTGACTGAAGAAATTTTCTTTGTAATAGATTATGATAGGTTTGGGTATAAAAAATGTTTTCTTAGTATCTTTCCTTCATTTTGTAGGTACGCCTGGACAGTTGCCCAGTGTAGGATCTGTGCAAGTCATATTGGATGGAAATTTACAGCCACCAAGAAAGACATGTCACCTCAGAAATTCTGGGGTTTAACTCGATCTGCTCTGTTACCCACAATTCCAGACACTGACGATGAAATAAGTCCAGATAAAGTAATACTTTGCTTGTAAATGGGTATAGTAGGGATAAAGTTATCTAACTTTTATCATACCTGAGAATACCTAGCTGGTATTCTCAGATCAAATCTGCTTTAGAAATTACTGCCTCTGATACATATGTAAGTAAACAGCAGCATTTACATGGACGATTATGGTTTCTTAGTCCAGCTGTATTTGAAGATTTTAAGTTCCAGTACAGTACCCTTTCAGAGAAGCTAAAAACCAATTCTAGATTTCACATTGGGTTTAAGATATATCTACTGTGGTAGCTTGGAGCTGTGGCTCTACAGAATGTGCTGTGTCTGTGATGTGACTGCTCAGTGCAGTCATCTGATTCTCTGTGGGAGAATATACTTCCCCCAATACTGTCAGTAGTGAAAGTCCCAAAAGCGGAGGAGCTGAGCATAAGTATGTGAGAGGCAAGACTGTATATTATTTTAAAATGACTCTGTGGGGTTTTGTTGTTGTTATCTTTAGCTTCTCTGACAGTGATTTGTAAATTTTCAAAATATTAAAAAGTAAATTATGCAGTTGGAGCACATAAACAGTTTTTATTTCTTTTGTGTTCTTGAAATATTTGTTTAAACTAGAACTCTAATTACAATGTCTCATACAAAGAAGTTTGTCAAAACTTTATAATTTGAACCTAAACTGCTCTGGGGCAGAAATACCAAAACATGTTCTCTCCCTACAGGCTAAAGCGGTACTGTATTTTGTGGGCTATTTAATGTACATTGAAAAAAGTCTGTAAGTAAACTTCAAGACCAAAACTAAACATCTTCTTTGCTTAAGTAATGTAGGTATAAAAAATATATTTGAGATACAATTCTAGGTGGACTGCTTTCCCACCTACATCTTTGGCAATACATTCAAGGGTTTACATTTATGTAATTAGTTTTGATATTCCTTCACTGCTTTCCATGCTTCAAATTAGGTAAAATGTTTAATCAGTCTATATTATGACAACAAAACCGGACTGTTAAATTTTGCACATTACATTTTATGTAAGAAGAATAAATGCAAAGCAACTCAAAAATAGAATATGCCCTGCCTTATTCAGTATGCCTGACATTAAATTTTTTTTTCTACTCTGCACTCAGACTTACTCCAAATAGATTCTAAGGAGTCCTCTTCAGTAGCACAGTACAATTCTGCACACTGACACCTAAAACTAGATGCAAGTGAAAAATTTACTGTTTTTACCTTTATAACATGCGGGGTACAATTTCAAAACATTTTATATTGTTTATTAATGTGACAAAGGTAGCTCTCTAAAACAGCTAAATCTGCATATTTGGTATATAAAGTAATAGGAATTCTGTGATTATTAGGTCTAAATATTTCAGGATTTTATAATGCACTTAATTACTGACCTGTCTGCAGTTGTTTCTAAGACTGCCTTTCTTGCAGGTCTGTCACACTCTCGCTTAGGTTGGGCTTTAGCAGAAATACTGTTTTCAAAACTTGTTTTATCAATGTCCAAAAATGTTATTTGCACGTAAAGTATAAAGATGCTATGAAACATGACTTAGTAAACAATCTAATGTTCACTTCAAAGAAAATAGGTATTATTGTATATGATACCTGATTCTCAGAAGTACATGCACATACTTACTTTCCAAAACCAAGGAAATGTTGTATTAAAACTTTATCAGGTTTTGCATATATAGGTACAGAATCTATGACAGGAAAATACAAATGTCAGCCACCTAGGATACACTTGTTCATATTTTATATAAGATTTTAATGGAAATCTGTCAACTATTGTTTCAGGCACAAGTTACTTTTGGAATTCATAAAAGAACCGAAAATAGCATAGGGAATCAGTACAAACATTAAACTTTTTTCCTTCAAGATATTTACCACTTTTTAAAAGTCAATCTTAGTACTGCGTTATGCAAAAACAAAATTTTCATTTAGAAAGTCCAGACAAGCAGAAGCCAACTACACTTTTTTTTCAGCAGCAGGTATTCCAAAAGCATATGATTCAGTGATATAAATAAATCAGATTTTAAAATTTCATAAAATAAAACTTGGTTCTTCTAAAAACTGGCTATTACAGTGGGTTCAATTCTGCTAGTTTCTTATATATCATTAAAAGGTATAGACAGTCTTATCAAAAGTTTCCATTTTTAAATAGCCAGATCTTGTCAGGGCTTCTTTATGTAACTTAGAAGCTCCTCTTTTTCCATTTGGTAACCACTTTTTTTCCACTGTTCACGCAACTGCTGTAATAAAGCCCCAATTTCCTTTCCTGAAGAAATGCCCACTTTCCTGATGTCATGGCCGCTCACAGGAAATGGGGGAATGGACCACTGCTCCATCGCTTTTAGAAGACAGTGCTCACCTTGGTACTTCAGTAGTTCACACACACGGCCAGTCACGTCAGGTTCCCTAGACTAAGAACCAGACAGATAAAGGTTACAATACTCAACAGTTTTATCCTGAAATATAAATGATAAATGCGTGATATGAAATTTTTCATTTAAAATAAGTTGAATTTACACAACAAATTCTAGGTTTTTGCTGAAATGTTAACAAGTAGTTCTGTCATTTTCTGACCAAGCCTAGAATATACTTACATCTATAATGAAGTCTTGATAAGGTTTCAGTGGTTCTGAACTATCTGTTGCTTTAATTAAATCTTTCCTATATTTAACAATAAATAAGCCAAGGTTTTTCTCTTCCTTTGAAATCTTCAACCTCAAATCCAGTTTTGTGACATCATCCTGTACTTTGAATAATGAAGCCAAAAGAGTCATTGGCTTTGGTGAAAAACCATCAACATTTTTACTGACTTTATTAAATTCTCCTAAACTTGCATTAGCAGGTAAACCTGTGGGGATAAAAGCAATTTTACTTTTTTTACTGAAGGAAGAAAATACATATCCTAAAACAAACCACTGTTTTGGTATACAGAAATGCTTTGCCACTGAGACTTCTTATTAGTCCAATCTGGATTTTCTTGTCTTTTCCACTGGCACTCTAAAAACCCCAGGGAATCCTTAAATGTTCTCATATCCATTACTAAGTTGTATCAGGAGATACACAGAAAATGGTGATATCAGAATCACCAATGATACTTTTTATAATCTGATTCCTAACTATATTGATATATTCACAGCCTACTATTCAGTAATTATCTGTTTGAAATATATTTGAGCTGTCTGAAGTATGATAAACCATGTAGTCATACTGTTCTTTATGAATGTTACTCATATAATATTTACTGGACCATTTCTATTGATAAGGCACTCTTTTGAGAAAAGTACTTTTACTAACTAAAGATTCCTGGTAGCCATTCCATTAGGTGCTGTTATTTCAGTACCCTTTTTTGATCAGAAACTAATCTTAAGTCATAAAGCTGTAAGTGGCCCAGCCTTATGAAGCCCAGTTCTCACTCCAGAGGCCACTTAAGCTGTTCCCCTCCCCATGACAATCATGTCCTACCCTAACTCATCTTGGAAGTTTTTAAAACAAATTCTTCACTTAAATGAGTCAAACATTTTATATTATGAAATTTTGTATTATGAAACTAGATGTTTCATTACCAAATATTAAAACATAATTTGCTCTCACCTATGTAAGGAGCCACATCAAGATCGTAGATAAGATGAATCAAGTGATTTACATGGTTACCAGTAAGAATTTTTTTCAGTTCTACCCAAATCCTCTCTCCTGATATTCCACCCAAGCCTTGTGCATTTTGTGCAATTGCTTCCAATGTCTCAGAATCATGGTCACCTGGTTTGTCTACAATTCTGCCATAAAACCTGTAAGACAAAAATCTTCTAAGTGAATTTACCTTTATTTTGGCATACCATCAGAAGTCTATTTTTCATTTTTATTACTACTACCACATAAATCTATTTAAAGGGAAAGAAAAAGAATTAGTACGGTCTAGGAAACACCTTAGAAATGATGTGGTAAATTTTCTATCTCTTTTATTTTTTTCCATGTAAGAAAACTCAAGATGTACTATTTAAGTAAGCTTTTTAAGGTCAGAAGGAACTAGAACCTACCACACTTCAGTTTCTCTTCCAGTCCCTGACAAGGCTCAGCATGGCTCTGAAATGCAGTTCCTCACTTGATACTTACAGTAAATGCATAACAGCATCTTTTAACGTCACCAAAACCAGACTTGAATATCCTAACTAAACAGTCTTAATTCATCAGTTTGCCTATCTGTACACATTAGTACTTAAAATATGACAAATGAAGTCGCAAACAGTGTAGCATTATTTCATAGAATGTTAGAACTGAACACCTTAAAGTACATCCATTCTACCACTCATACATAGCCCTAAAAATTCACTAATGGTCCAAACTTAACCCTAAGTAACTACAACTAAGCTTGATTTATGTTATTATTTGCAGGAATGATTGCTTGCCAATAAGTGTTCAAGTTTAGAAAAACGGGATTTATTGAAAAAAACCTTAAATATTCTGAGTAATCATATCAGTGAAAAAGAACATTGCTAAACATAAATCTACCAGTTAGAATACTTGTGGTTTTTTTTTTAATAATTTAAAATTTAAAATATTGCTAAGGAAATAACAAAGTTAAGTTTACAAAATGGGAGTACATATTTGGAAACTATCCATTTAACAAGGGGTTAACATGCAGGACATAAAAAGGAATTCCAAAAATTCAGCAGCAAAAACACAGTAACCTAATTTTAATAATGACCAACAGATCTAAGTAGACGTTTCTCAAACACACAAATGGCAAAAAAAAGTGCTCAACATTATTAATTATTAGGAAAATGTAAGTTGAAACCAGAATGAGATAACCCCATAAGCTAGTAAGAATGGTTGGTACCAAAAAGACAAAAGAGAACAAGTTAAAGAAGTTGTGTAGAAATGGGAACTGCTTTACACTGTTGGTGAGCATATAGATTACCAAAGCCATAGGGAAAACAGTATGGAGGTCTCAAGACGCTAAAAGCAGAACTGCTAAATATGGTTCAACACCACCACTATGGATATACATCCAAAGGAAATCCATCTATCGAATTTCTGCACCCTCATTTTTATTACAGCACTATTCACAATAACCAAGAAATGGAAACAAGGTTTATTAATCTACTGAATGGATAAAGAAAATGTGGTAAACACACTGGAATATAATTCAACCATAAAAAAGTCCTGTCATGTTCAGCAGCATGGACAGAAGTGGAGATAATTATTGTAAGTGAAATAAGCCAGGGATAGAGAAGTATTTAATGATCTCAAAGATGAAATTTATAAAAGCTGATCTGTACAAGTTGAGAATAGATGGTTACTAGAGCCTGGGGATGGGGAGGAGAGGTGGAATCAGTGAATACTAAGTCATAGGAGCCAAAAGATCCAAAGTACTACTATGGAGTATGATGATTATATAAGATAACAATAATGTATATTCCAGAAAGCTATAAGGAGTCTGAATGTTTGCAACATAAAGAGAAAATGTGCCAGAAAACAGATGCTTAACCTGATGTAAATGTTACAGTGTATCCATGTACTGAAGCATCATTATGGTGACCCATAAATATGTACAAATTTTGTTTTTATGTATCAAAAGACAAACATCTTAAATTCTTAAAAGAATAAAATTTGCTGCTACCTACAAAATCACTTATGCAGGTTTGACATACATACTTTGGTTATTGTACTGGTTATTTTTCTTCTCACTGAAGTAATTTTGTACTGAGGTATCAGAGATATTCTGTGACACTGGAAACTATAAGCCATATGAGGTGTACTGTGATCAGTCCACTTAGCCCAGTTTTTGGTATATGATAAGCACACAAATGCTCAATGACTGAAAATATAATTTAATAAAAAGAAAAATGGGCATTTAAAATTGATTTAAAACTTTCCTATAGAAAAGATTAAATATGCATACTTTGGGAATGAAAATAGACCATGAAGTAGTATCTCTCATAAATCAAAAGCTACTAAGTCATCACTGGAAAGAGACATTGGAAATCTCACCATTTTGTGCTATGTAATGTACATGCCTAAACTATGCTCTGATATTTAAATTTTATTTTTAAAATAACTTACCTGAAATATCTTAAAATTCGAAGATAATCTTCTTGTATTCTCTGTTTAGCATTTCCAACAAATCTAACTTTCTTATTTTTTAAATCTGTATAACCATTAAAGTAATCAAATAAGGTACCATCAAAACCTATTCATTAGAAAAAAGGGGAGAAAAATCATTATTAGCAAATAATACTGTGCCACAATATCATACAAAACTCAGTTTAGAACTAAACTAAAAATTCTGCATGATTAAATTACAAAATTAAAACATAGGTACTAATATTCATACTTGTCGCTACCAAATGGAAGCCAGAATAAACGGCTGTTTTTACAGTGGCCAAATAACAAAGACTTAAGAATAAACTAAAAAGAAATGTGCCAGGACTATGTATGAAGTGGAGCACAGCACATAAGCTGATTTTCAAAATAATATAAAGAGACAGAAAACCAAAAGTAATAAATTGAACTGCATTAAAAATTTAAAAATTAAAAATTAAAAATTAAAAAATTAAAAATTAACTACATTTGTTCACAAAAGCCACCATCATGCAGAAAATGATAAGCTAAGTGACATCCTAGGAAAAAAGTGTATGTAAATCAGGAAAGCTCCTATAAACATTACATAAGTAGGCTAAAATATATAAAGGAAATTTTTCTAAAGTGAAAATTTTCAACTTTTGTCATAAGAAAAAGATTTTTGAAAAACCATTTTTCAGATTTCCCTCAGAACAGCGAATACCCAAACATCTGGCAGCACTGTTGAAGGAGACGCTCCTGTTCCCTAGAAGTTGCGAGAGTTCATTATCACACACCCTAGTACATTTGTGAGTTCTGAACCATGATGAACCTGTTACTCATAAATGCTGCAAACAAGAAAGGCCCCATATAATATGTCCTCTCATTTAAAAATGGGACAAAATAAGTTTAATATAGTCATTTAAAAATCCTGGGTATTAGGATGAATAATTCATCCTGGTTAACATGGTATTTCCCTAGCTCTGAAAAATTACATCACTTAGTTAAAAATCTCTGTCCCCAGAAATTGAGACAGCTGTCTCAGAACGTTCAAAAAAAAGAAAAAAGAAAAGAAACATCGTCTAGAGCATTTATCCAAGTACGTAAGCTAAGTGGTCTTGTGAGGTGCTTCAGTCTGGCATAAGGACAAGAGGCACTGTCACTACTTGTGAAAAATAACTGCTTGTTAATTTAGTTAAGGTTAAAATGGGATCCTCTCTAAATATCCCAAAAGCACGAGTACCTGTAAACTTGGACTGAATGCTTTATCAAGCTGTGTTGGTTTACACAGGGAAACTGTTAAAAAGGAAACTATCTTTAAGTATATGAGAACTTTAAAAGGCTCCAGATTTTAAAAAGACAACAGACCAAAAAGAAGCAAACAAAATGATTACAAAGAAGCAAACAATATGGTATGCCTGTCTTAGTTTTAATTCTCTTGATAAAAGATGCCTAATTGTCCCTTGGTGAGTCTGGAGATAACTAAGGTGTTTTTCAGTAAAGATCAAAATTTGGATGAAAAAACCAGAAATATGACAAAAGCAAAAACAATGGCTTAGGATATGAAATAATCAGTCATAAGTGTCAGAACTACTGATTCCTAGTCCAATAAGGCTTGAAACAAACCCAGACCCAAAAAAAAGGGTTAAAAGCGATTATCACACATCAATATGTATTTTGTTTTGCTCTGAATATCATTCTGCTAAGATACAGGGAATAACAACATGAAATAAAGCTGAGTTGCATGGAATAACATAGTAGTAAAGAGCATGACCTCTGGAGCTAGGCCAGTTCAGTTAGAAGCCTGATTCTATACTTTACAAGATGCATAACCCTGGGCAAATTACCTTATGTTAAACAGCAGTGTCTGCTTTATAGGTTGTTAGATTAAATTTACATAATGTGCTTAGAACAGTGCCCAGTACCTTATAAGGGGTTAGCAAAAGTTAGAACATTTTGTTTTAGAACACAGTATCTTGGAAAAGAATATTTTGAAAACTTTTAGTTGTTTTTTTTGTGTTTTTTTTTTTTTAAGTAAAGTATGCTTACAGGAAGATAGTAAAGACTATATACATTGCATTAATTGGAGCATTTGATGAATAATGTAAGAAGAAATAAATATTTGGGGCTTTCATTATTTAATTGAGAGAAAATATGCAGCACCTGGGCTCACTATGATCATAAATTTCATAGGCTTGGGAAATCCTGGCTTATATAATGGCTATACAATCTGAACTAAGCTACTTAATACCCACTTTATAAAATTTTTTGGAGAGCTAAATGAGATAAAAATACATTACATGCCTAAGGATAATACCTAAACCCTAAAGTACCTTAGACGTGGTATTTGTTACTAATGTAATCAGCAAGAGATGCCCCCTGAGCCTACAGGTATCTTCCCTAGCCAATGAAGCAGATCTTAAAGGGCTTACCTGAAATTTAAAGTACACAAAAATAATATATGTCATATACCAAAACACTAATTCACCTTTCATCACTTAATATAGAAACTAAGCTACCAAACAAGTTTCATCTTACATGCCAACTTGATTACTGATGTTTACTAAGATGCAATGCTAGGAAAGAATGTGAGATTGTGTGTAGGCTCAACAATAAAGAGGTGCTGAAGTGGTTTACCACTGTGTGTCAGATCACCTGAAGAGAGGAAGGAGTGCACACATGATGATAATGCAGAGGAGAAAAATCATATGGGGTGTGTGTGCAGCACAAGTGTGTTATTTTTCATACACTGTTCAGACGCAGCTCTTAAGTTAACAGCCTGAATGTGTAAATGTGGCAGGCACAGTGCAGTTATTCCCTTAATTCTGTAACAACCTTACAAAGGAAACTAACCTTCATTTTATGACATCTGAATGATGCAATTAATTTGGGCTCCACTGTCTCTTACAAGAAATTCATACAAATTTCACTTGAAAGACATCTGATGGACTGAATTACAATATTATCTCTATATATTACCTAGAAACATAGAATTTATAGTGAGATCTCTGCGTTCAGCATCTTTCTGCCAGTCAGTTGTAAATTCTACTTCAGCATGTCTTCCATCAGTGGTAACATCAATCCGTAGTGTAGTGATTTCAAAATTCTCTTCATGAAGCTATAATTACAAATTTTTTTTAATTACCTTTTAGTATCACTGGACAGGCTAAAAAAGAAAATGTTTCTAAAGGCATGGTACTATGAGCCCTGACAATGTTATAGCTTATGTCTTTCTAAAAATATACATTGTACACATATCTTGAAAAACATTTCCAATATTCAAAGGAGATCTAAAAGATGATTTACAAAGTTCCACTGTGACTGAGCTGAAATTGACCAATAAACAGCATCTCTGACAAGTAGTGAAGTGGAAACAAAGGAGGAACTCTCAAAGCAGTGTGTTAGGTCCTTCCATTTAACCGCAAGCTATCATCTGAAATAGTTTCTAACAGCTCCAATTTGCAAAGAACTGAACATCAACTCAGGGCATACATGCCATTAAGAAAAGTTCTGATAGAGGATTAAGTACAGGGAACAAATCCTGCAACTCCTCTACTAGTACTCACCAATGAAGTTAAAATAAAATGCTACATGTTCAGTATCTTGGGAGGAGAAACTGCTTCTAGTTGGGAAAGCTGAGTAACTTGTTTACAGTGGCATATGAGCTAAGCCTTGAAAATAAGTAGGATCTGAACAAGCAAATAGGAGGAAAAAATTCCACGTGAAAGAATAACCCAAAGGCACATTGCAGAGTATATGTAACAGAGAATGTTTATCTAACAAACAGTGTATCAGTGATATTCAGCAAAAAGCTTTATGTGTCAAGCAAGAGTATGAATCTCATTAGCAAGTCAAAGCCATCAATGAGCACAAGAAGTGTACTATAAGAATCTTCTTAATTTTATACATACTCTTCATCTGATTCAGTTACTTTCTCATCACTCAGACAAAATACTTGACACCCAAAGTAAAAGGGGAAAAGGTTTATTTAGCTCATAGTTCATAGAGGTTTCAGTCTGGCTCCAAGGAAGGGTGGAACACTGCAGTGGGTCCATGGTTCATGGCACTGAAGGGCAGCAAAAGCAACGAGAGAGAAACATGCTTCTTTTTTTTTTTTTTTTTTTTTTCCCAAGGCTAGTCAAGTGAAGCAGTGGGAGTGGAGAAGGAACAAAGAAATCTGTAAAATCTGTAACTGGTTGTGATCAATTAGTTGTAAACACCACTGCACTCGGACCAGCCAGAAACATGCTTCTTTGTGTCCCTTATATTGTATCCCAGTCTACCAGGGTTAAGGCAGTGCCAAGCTTATCAGTGAACTTATCCAGCAGTCACCCAACCTTAATCCAAGCACCCTTAGTCTCAGCATCGCATTACAAATCAATCACACACTCTACCTTCAACCACCTCCAAAAACACCCTATGACCACATTTGTGGGGGTACCTCTAGGCAAAGACTGTAACAGTCTATACCTATATATATGCTCCTATAGAATTGCAGAAGTCAAAAATACAACACATGAGTATTTACGAAGGGAAATATAAAGGACTTCACATGGGAAAACTGAAGATCTATATAAGAAACAGTCAGACCTCCCTCTCCAGAATGCCCCCCTGACTCATGTAGAAAACCAGGAGTTAACTCTAAAAAGAAAAGGAGCTTGGCACTCAGTCTCTTATGATCAAACATCAAAATAAAAACAAGAATTAAGTGAAAACCAGCATAAGCCCTCTCCTTTTTTCCCACTTGCTTTTCAAAATCCTAACAAGCAAGCTTATCCCAAGCCGTAACACTGAGAGATTCTTCTGAGATTTCTCCTAATGAAAACTTGTAATTCTAACATAAGAGTCTCACAATTTCCTACCTGACACTTCTACACAGAACTACAATAAAGCCCTCAGGTCATTTTCCTAACATTTTACAGCACCATCAAAATAGGAGAGCCAAAGAACAGCCCTATTTAAGGAACACTGAAATGAAACACAAAACAGCTCAGAAGAAACAGACTTGGTCAAAGCGACAGTAATAAATAGCCTAAGGAAAATATGAGAAGTTACTGCATTTGAAAAAGAACAGGAAGCTTTACAAGAAATAGTCATGTGCCACCATATAAGGACATTTCAGTCATCAACACAGTGTATGAAGTGGTCCCATGGTCATACTAGAGCTGAAAAATTCATGTCACCTAATGACACTGATGTCATAGGACCATAGTCATCACAATATAGTGCATCATCCTATTGCTCTTGTATGTCCTAGTGCTAGTATGTAAATGTACAGTACTGCTAGTCATATAAAATTGTATTTGCACAATTAAGTACTACAACTGTTGTGTACTGTTGTGTACAACAATTACAAGTGGCTGTTGATAGTTTGCTTTTACTATACTGTAATTTTTTTTTATTTAAAGAGATAAAGAAAAAAAGGGTAGAATACAGAATTTCAGGAAAAATAAACAGTAAGAAATCACTAGTTGATAAGGTACATATTGTCATCATAGAAATAGTTGTTCAAGTTATAAAATTAAAACATACAAAGTGACATTCAAATAATAACACTGCAAACAGTTCTGCTTGATGACCCAACAAAAACTTAGTAATATGGTTATCAGTCCTGCACACTTATTTTTTATCTTGAGGGTAAGATTAAACATGCCAATACGGAACAGAACAGTTCATAAGGAAACAATTTAAAGAAACACAGATTTCAAAGCAAATCTACTGGAGATCTTCACTGTCTATCTTATTGTCTCTAGTTTTCTTCCAAAGAGTTGTCCCCATCTTCACCTATACTGAGCATTATAGAACTAATCAAGTCATTACAGGATGATGAAGGCTTTTTAGGTCTTCAAGACCTGATTTTGGGGAAGTTGACAATGAATGCCATAATGTCTCTCATTCTCTTCGTAGTGGCTGTCTTTAAGTATGCTGAAATTGAACACAATAGACTAGACTAATATCACTCTGAAAAGTGAATACTAATATTGCTAGATTTTATATCATAATGCTACAGAATTAGCATTGGGTTTCTTAGTGTCTCTTCTTCAGAGTATCTGTTCATTACATCGTGTATTATATAATCTGTTCCCGTAGATAGTTTAGAAATTCTTCCTATGTGTGAATCTCTACATGTATATCCTTTCTGTATTTTAGGGAAAAAAAGATCAAAACAAGACAACAAAACAAATCCTAGAAAAACATGAAATGAAAAAGACATATAAGGCCACAATATTAGGTGATCTACAGTAGTTACTATGCTTTCTCCTGTTATTTTCAATAGAATTGTCCACATGATCAGGCATTATATAGTTAAACATAGCATTACATAGCTATTTTTATAAAAACTCAACTTTGAAGACATTGTAGGACTTGAAAGCAGTTAACAATCAAAAACAGAATGGATATCTTTTACATCTTCTCATCTTCAGAGTAGTTGCCTCTACTTACTCTTAGACTTAATACTATCAAGCATAACAAATTCGAATAAAATCAGTTAAGGCAAAATAGCAGTCTAACAAACCGGCTTCAAATAAGATCAGTCATAGTAAAACAATGTAAGTAATACAGGGTTTCAGTTTAAGTTAATAGGAAATTAAGGATAGTTACCATGGTAAATCCTGTTATTTTAGGGTTAGCGGTCTGTGCCCTCAAATCTCGTATGAGTAGACAGACCAGAACAAAATATAATCAAAGTAAATAGAGTGATAGGACTACTGTGGCTTTTAAATCCTGATACACTTTTAACAATGTCCTCTGCCTTCCTTTTTTAGGCAATTCTTCACCTTTCCCCATCTCAGGATGCTTTGTATATTTTGGGTCCCACTAGCTCCTTTAGTTTTTAGACTAGGGTGTCAACCTTTTATCTATCTGAGTGTTGCTGAACCTTTTTACCCCTGAGAATAATCTTGAGCTGTACTCCTTTACTTATTAAAGGTTTTCATTCCTTCCAGTTGTGTAGTTCGATAATGCACAAAAGTGTCATAACTTTCCAACCTTCTGCGGCTGCTGGACGAGTTGTCCCTATTTCTCTCTGGTTTGCTGTCACATAGAGCATTGTTTTCTCATCTTTGACTCTCAGTTTATCAACTCTCTTTCAGGTTCAGTGTATTTCCTACTCAGAGCATCTGGATGGATCCTGCCTCATAATCTACTCTGCCTATGTTTCTTTTTTGTTAGTGTATTAAGGCTATCTATATTAAAGATTATAGCTTACCGTCTGCCTCATCTCTGCTATTCTATTCTTCTGCTATTATTTGCCCACTTTACTCTTTCATTCCATTGTCTTCCCCATTCATTGAGGCCTCTCTACCACTGTTGCTGGAATCCTAGTATTTTTTCCTCTCTCTTTCTGGAATGTCCTTCAGTATTTTTGGTAGGGTTGGGTTGGTGGCCATGAACTCCCACAGTTCCTCCTTGTCTTGGAAATATCTTGTTTCTCCATTAATTTTGAGAAAGAGTTTTTCTGGGTACATCAGTCTTGGTTGGAGGTTATTTTCTTTCAGGGCTTGGAGTATTTTCCCCTAGGCTCTTCTCGATTTGATTTGAGAGTTTGTGTTGATAAGTCTGTTGTTATTTTGATGATCTGTCCTTTGTAGGTGACCTGCTTCTTTTCTCTGGGTGGATTTCTGCAATCTTGATTATTATATGTCTGGGTGTAGATCTATTTTGGTTGTAGGTGGCTGGAGTTCTGTATGCCTCATTTATCTGGATATCATTTCTTTTTCCTATGCTTGGGAAGTTTTCCTTAATTATGTCTGTGAATAGTCTTTGTAGTTCATTTGTGGTTACTCCTGCTTCTTCGCTCACAATAAATCCTCTTGTCATCTTCTAGCCTTTGAACTGTTTCTTCCTGGTTCCTCATTATTTTTAAGAGATCTTTTCTTTCACGATCACACATCATAAATCTCTCTTCAAGTTTTGAAAGGCTAACTTTAGTTTCTGTCAAGGCATTTTGCCAGCTTTCAATGGAGTTTTTAGTTTCCTGGTAATCTCTTTGGATCTGTTTCATGTATTCTAGATTTTGTTTATATTCTTTATCAAAGGTTTCTCTTTCTTTTCTGAGTTCCTCCATTCTTCCATCTGTGTTCTCTTGGGAGGGGCTTATCATTTCTTTAATCTTTTTATATCTTGCCTCATTTGGATCAGAAGTACAGTTTTAAATTTGTCTATGAGGTCACAAATGCAGTTATGTCTGCTGATATCGTGTCTAATATTGCATGATCACTGCACTGGTTCTTTTCTGTATTTACCTCGCCTGGACTTGTTTTCCCAGGGTCAGTGGCTGGAGGGGTTTTTTTATTTCTGTCTCTTCTCAGACAAGTGTGTCCTGGGGGGGGTCTCTGGCCCTCTCCGTATTGCTTAGGGTCTTTCCAAAGCATGCTCACTGGGGCTTTGCTGCCCTCCCCAATGTGCTGTTATCTGAGGTACACGCAGGGACACAGGGATGGTGCAGGCTAGCCTCAACCCTCTGAGCCAGTGGACTCAAAATTTCCTTCAGTGACTTAGGTTGTACCTTGTGGACATCACAGAGTTGTGACCTTTTTTCCCCTGGCTACTGGGTCCCAACCAGAGGCGTAGCTCAGCCCCAGCAGAGCCTACCAGTCTTCTCTGTGCCAGGGGTTGCCGACTGATGCCTTCGTGGTGCCAGGCTCTGCCCAACTCCAAGATGTCCTCCAGCCAGCAACAGCAGCTGTGGCACCCAATACCCATTACTCACCAGGAATCAATGCAGTTCTCCATCTTGGCTCCAGTCTACGCTACACCACGTCCTCCCACCAAGGGCTCGGGACTGAACAATTACCGTTATCGGTGACCATGGCTTCATCTCAACCTTGAATCGCCTGACTCCACAGTGCTCCTGGCATTGCGCGGACTGGTCTCATGAGCACGTAGGGCTCCAACCCTCCACTCGCGTTTTTCCTTCTCCACAGAGGTAGATTCTAGCTTGATGTGTTTTTTCTACATCTAGACCAGCATCCTCCCTCTTCAGACAACTGCACAGCACCCGACTTTGGCACCCAGACACAGGGTCCTCTCCGTGGCCTCCTCCAGCCTATACTACAGTTTTTATGATTACAATGTACTACTTTTACTTACATTTAAAAAGCCACAAGCCCCAAACAAGTCCTTCAGAAGGAATTCCAGAAGGCCCTGTTATCACAGGACTGATGGTTTCACATGTGCCATTGCCCTGGAAAGCCTTGTAGAGTGACAAGGCTCAGAGGTGGAATACAGTGATGATAATCCTGACACAGAGGCTTACACTAATGTGTGTATGTGTGTGTCCCTTAGTGCTAACAAAAAGAAGTTTAAAAGGAAAAAAATTTTAATAGAAAAAACTTGCAGAATTAGCACATAAAGAATTTTTGTACACCTGTACAGTGTGTTTTACGGTGTCAAGTTTTTAAAAATGTAAAGAAAAAATTTTAAAAACTGGCTAACAACAGATTCCTCAGAATGTACCAGTATTAAATGACATTTTCAAGACCAACTGAAAATTTAAAAAACCAAAAAAAAAACTGTAAATGGAACAGTTGGGAAATCAAGACATTCTCATAGACAGTGAAATAAAAAACCTAAGGACAGAAAATAAAAGAAAAAAACAAAACTAGATGATCAGCCTTCTTGCCCCATATCCAGGTAATAGGACTTTCCAAAGGAAGACATTTTAATCAAGGAGATGAGATTATAAGGGAAATACAGAGACCCATTTAAGAGCCTAACACAATAAATGAAAAAATAAGTCCAACCATGACAAATCACCTGGAAATTAAGGATGCCAGACAGAAAGATCAGAAACATTTCCAAAAGGTAAAAATAATCAAGTTTCAAAGAAAAGAGAAAAAGAAATGGGAAGCTACTATTCTAGCATGGAAGTAGCCCTAAAAGTTGGAAAACAAAACTTCTAGTGGAAATTACTGCCATCTAAAATGTCAATAGTCAACAAAATTATCAAAGCACTGTGAAGGTAAAATATTTTCATATGGGTGAAGCTTCCTTAGCTTTTGGAATATTTAAAAGGAGAGCATAAATGAGGTAAGGCTACAATGTAAGATCCAGAAAACAGCATGGATAACAAAGAAGAGAGGTCAAGGAAAGTGCTAGACTGTCTATATTAGAGCGGGAAGACAAAAGCAAGTGAAACGTGCCCCACACCCCCAAACACAAACTGGATGTGTTTAAGTATTTGAGAGGAACTTTATAGTTTTGCTACCAAGTACAGGAATAAATGAGTAGTACATGGAAAGCTACATCAGACAGTAATGCTATTACCTGCAGGATAAATAACATGTAACACAAAGAATGTAATCATAACAATCCAAACTGCAGTTATAAACAATAAGTCGCAAGTAAACCCTGAACATTGATTTAACCAAAAATCATGATATAAATAAACCTGAGAGATAGGTAAAGGAGAAATGCTAAGCAGTTGATTTTAAGGGTACGGTAAGGAAGCTAAGTCATCTTTCCACATAGAAAGTCAGTGGAAAACACATTAAAACTGGGAAATTAAAAACAAAAACCATAACACACAGCAGTGATTTTTCTTTTCTTAGAAACTGTGGTGGTAAAAGAGAGCTATCAAACTTAATTAAAAGTAGCACCAAAACATGGAAGGGTACCGGATTTAAGAAGGTAGAGGTCACTGACATTTTTATTAGGCTTTTTGTCATTTGCTTTTTTAATTAGAAAAAATGCTAAATTTTTAAGAATTATGTAAATGGCAATGCAGTTAACTAACACCACTTTTTACTCACCCTGGCAGTAACTGTTCCATGCTTTTCTCCTCTGTTGTTTATCATCCGAATTCCAGCTGCCTGAAACATCTCCTTCATCTGAGCAGGGGTAGCAGTAGTAGCAAAGTCAACATCTTGAGGCTTCACTCCATTTAGTAAATCCCTCACTGCTCCTCCCGCTATTCTTAATTCATGATTCTGTTTGACAAATAATTCTGAAGTAAAAGAAAGAAGTCAAAGCATGTCTTTTTAATGAATCATACAGTGCAAGGTTTTCCAAATATTAGAGTCAGTACAGATTTAACTGCTTTTTCATATGAAAATAAGATCAAGACGTGATATAGTTTCTTTCCTATAACATAATGCCTCAAAGATGTACGGGAAGCAGAAAACTTGTAAAATTATTCTTTGCTCCTTCAGAAGTAATTCTGAACTCACAATGCTTCCAGGTCATCAACATACATCAGAATTATTATCAGACAGTTAAAGCAAACAGTTTGCTTTTTTGAAGTTAGTTTATGTACATTCTTTAGAAATGTTTAAGTATTCTGGTATTTACCTTTTCGAAAAGATGTATAGGTATTATGTCCATATGTTATTTGAAACTATAAAACTATCAGACATCATCGGTTTGTCACACTAATTATGTTATAGGAATCCTTCAAAAAATTACCAGCATATATTTTTTGAGATCAATTCCTATCTGTGTTCTAAGTAGAATCATATGAACACTGAAATGGCTATGAGGTAATTACATTAACTCCTCTATAGGTACAGGAAAAACAAAGAAATGCCACTGTAACTGTACTTATCTGACCAAAACCACCACATGGGACCTGGGAATGACATCTGGAACTGGCCTGCCATTCTGCATTAGGTTTTGATGTTGGTATGAGCTGATGTACCACTCACAACTAGCCCTTGGTGTTCTATGAGCATGTACAGTTTCACACATCAGTATCAGACAAAGCAAGACAACTGTATAACTGTGTGTAAAGACAAAATCTGAACTGTCCAAGACACATATATAATATGAAATAGTTAATGAAAATATTACTCCTTACTTATCAAATAGTTTTAGTCTTGCATTGTGATCTTAAATTCTAGGAAAAAACTCACAAACGCAAAAAAATTAATTTTGCTTCCTACAACCATCTGATACACTCTAAAGTTCTACATCTTAACTTCCAAAGCAACCTAACACAAGCCCAAATCTTCTAAGAAGTCTTTTCAAAAACTTTTTTTTTTAATTTAGAGAAAAAAAAAAGCAAAACAGAAAAAGAGTAGAATACAGAATTTCAAAAAAACCCTTAGAAATCACTAGTTGATAAGTTATATATCATTTTCTTAGAAGTAGTTGCTCAAGTCACAAAATCAAAGCATAAAAAGTGGACAATCAATGACAGTACTCAGCTGCTCCAGGAGACTCCATGGTCAGTATTCTCACTCCCTGCAAAGAGCAACAGTTGAATTTGACGTGTCCCTGCTGGTCTCTGGCTGGAGGTCACTGACATGAGCACAGCAAAAAGTCAAATGTGTCCATCAGAGTTCTATAGCATCCTAAATCCCAAAATGTAACTTTTACCTCTACTCAACTTCTGTTCTCTTTTATCTCCATAATCCTTTTCACCTATTTCCCCAAATCTTTCAAGCCTAAGCTTCATAAACTCCCCAGAATGGCTTGCTTAAACATAACAAAGGCTCCTTCCTCTACCTTGTTGTTTTAACTAAAAGCAAGCTCTCTGACTTCCAGTAAACTCTCTAAAGGGAAGCAATGATATTCCCTTAATGCCACATTTCCAGTCAAGTTCCATTAACCAATATGCTCCCTATCAAAAGCACTTAAATATAGTCCTTCAACATAAAAGTAAAAATCATGGGTATCAGCTCATTGTTATCTTAAGACTTATGGGGAGGTCCCTGGCTCCAAAGGCTGAAGACTGCCAAAAATATACTCTGTTGCCATCTCCCCCTAGTTTAGGTCCCCTAATCCCCATGCCTGTACTGATAAAAAGTCTCCCTACAATGTCCTCATTCCTGTCCATGCTTCCAGGGCCACAGTACATATTCTCTCCACTCCCCTTAAACCCAGCCTCCAGTTTCATCTAGACACACATGCAACTGCTTCTCCTATCTATTCACATGTCACAACATCCCAATTCTTTACACAGTACAGACTTCCAAGCTCATCTCTCATTGCACAATGACTCACACTTTAGCTGAACTAAATTCTAGCCATGGTGGTTTCCCTATGTGAGTCACTTCACTGAAAGGCCTGCCCACCTCAGTCATCTAGCTCACTGACTCCCTATTGAACTTCTGATCCATGACACTAAAACATTTACAGAATTTACCAATTCTTGTGTCTGTGTGGCAAAGTATCACAAACCTTACCTTTTCTGCATATCATGAAATCTATTCTATCCTATTCTCTAATCCTCTCCCTCTTTTTTTAAAATGCTGGTCATGACCTCTAAACTGAGTTTATGATCCATTAATGATGAATCACCATCCAGAGAGAAAAACACTGATCAAGGTCAATCTTACCTATCTGTTGTGATTAAATTTAGGAAACCTCTCCTGAAGGTGAAATAAATTTCTTTTAAGCCACTAACATAACCTATCTTATAGATACTTTTTATAATCAAATTATGTCTTTGTCTCCCATTTCTCAGAGTAGAAAAACCTATTATTCATCTTTATATCAACCTGACTCATAATGGAACTGAACTGTGAAATTCTAGCTATTAAATGAATGCCTTCATTGGAAGTGTCTTTTAAAAAATTTTGACCTTTGCATTACCAATACACTTATGAAAAAACAACAAAAAGAAACAAACCAGGAAGTCAAAGCTGAATTTATACAGAGAAACAATGATTTTAAAATTCTCATGCAGTCTCACTATAATACAGTGGTATGCTTAAAGTTATTCAATAATTTAATCACATTTCAGGAAAAGATATAGATTCAAAGTAACTTATTTATCAGACTGATTAGTCCTAGGTTATTAAACCATTTCCAAAAAACTCACAATTCAATTATTTTAAAAATATAAACCAGGCAAGGTGGTACATGCCTATAATCCCAGCACTCACTGAGGCAGAATGATCAAAATGAGTTTGAGGTCAGAAGAAAAGTGAGTCTTAAGCCAGCCTGGGCTTTTTAAGTGATTTCAAGAGCAGCCTGAACTCCACAGAGACCTTGTCTTTAAAATGTACCATTTTAAAAAAAGTTATACTTTAATATAGTTGAGAAAGGCCTGTAAAGAAATATTTATCTATGTGGAATAAGTCACAAAAATTACAAGATATGATTTTACACTGACCTAAAACATTAGAGAGTATCAATTTAAAGAGTTCTTTATGCCTCAACTATTGATCATCTTACAGAACCGGTGATGTTTCATTCCAAAAACTTCAAGCTACAGATACTTTGTGAAAACACCATCAAATATAATAAAATTGATTACAAATTTAAGCTTACAACTCAAGAAATGCAAAATATCATCATTGCAGAATCATGTCTATTTACTCTGCTACATCTAATGGTAACTTTGGTGAATTACTTTTATTATCAATCCAAAAGACCATGTGTTGTGTCAGAAAACTTTTATAATTACTCTCTATTTTTAACAATTCTTCAATCGAATTTCCATTAACTTCTTTTTACAATTCTGAATTCTAAGTGCTGGTGGTTACAGTGAGATGGAGTTAAAGTAGGTACACTGTTATATGGCATGATTGTTACTATCAAAATTCTTTTAGAAGAGCTTCCAAAAGTCAAAAATTCAGTTGTTCCCACTGTCACAAATGCAAGGATAATGGCATTTTGACATCACAAACCACTGAGCACTATCACCCAACAATGACTTGATCACTTGGCCACAGCCAAGTAACCAAGATGTCCTGGTTGCTAACTCCCTCAGTGAGTCAGAACCCCAGCTTCATCTATAAAATGAGTAAATAATCATATATGTTTTTTTCTGAATCAGAAGGATAAATGGAATGAAAACTTGACAATTTATAAAACTCTAGCAAGACATGGTGGCACACACCAGCACCAGCACTCTGAGGCAAGAGGCAAGACAAGGCAAAAAGATGGTAAAGTTCAAGCCCCGTCTGGCCAATTTAGGAAGACCCTGTCTCAACACTCAAAAGTTAAAAAAAAAAAAAAAAAAAACCAACTGAGGATATAATTCATTCCTTAGGCCCTACATCTGATCTCCAGTACTATCAAAATGAAAAACACACTGCATCATATGACCACAACTGAAAATTAATTTTACATATGGCAAAGCAACTATTAAGATCTGAGGACTGAGCTGGGTATGGTGGCTTACACCTGTAATCCCAACACTTGGGAAGCTGGGGCAGGAGGATCATTGCAAATTCAAGACCAGCCTGAACTGCAGTGAGACCCTGTCTCAAAAAGACAAAAAAAAAAAAAAAATCTGAAAACTGTTGCAACAGGACTTAAACTGCATGTCACATCACACCATAGCCACAATGGCTGTGTGTTTTCAATCATTTTGTTTTTATATAGGTCATCACATTTTAGCAGGAAACTCAAATCTTTACACCATAACAGAAAAGAAATTGAACAATTATTTCCTATCTGTGAGTAATGCACTGTAAGATTCCATTCTTCCCTATTCTATCATACCTTAGAAAAGGTGAACTATAGAACATGCCCACATTCTCATTTGCTAATCTTTAAGGACAGGACCTTGGAAGCAACTACAACATGTGTAGGTTATCAAACTACTTTGGTCCTCTTTTTCAGGACTTCATTTCTCAGAGTGGGTGAAGTTCAGCTTTTAAACTCAGGTTTACTAAGGCAAACATGTATGTTAAACTCAGGTTTATTAAGCCCAGTATGCTAATTCATGCCTATATAATCCCAGCACTCTGAGAAGTTTAGGCAGGAAGATCACAAATTCAAGCCTACTCTTGGCAATTTAGCGACAGACAGCAAGATCCTGTCTCAAAATAAAGAAACATAAAAAGGCTAGGGCTGTAGATCAATGTGAAGGCCCTGTTCAATCCCCAGTGTCCAAAAAATAAAGTTTAAGAAACTATCCATCAGTATCTAAAACCTTGTTTCCAAAAAAACACAAATTATTGAGATAGACCACCAAGAATTAATTAATCACTCTTTCCAGAGAATAGGAAAGTGGGATGCTGAAAAGGGCATATAAAGAAAAAGTTGAATCAGTCCAACACTGGAACTTTGGATTTGTAACACTGAAACAGTAACAATGGCCTATTTGGTTTCTGGGCATTTGGAATGGTGTGAATCTCAATTAAGATGTGCTATATGTGTTAAATATATGCTAGATTTGAAAGGAATATACAATAGCTCAATAATGCTATATAGCTCAATAGCTCAATAAATATATGCTAATTTTATAGGAATATACAATAGCTCAATAATGCTCAAATTTCACATTAAAATATTACCTTAATTACAGTGTATTAAATACATGCACTGAAAATAATTCTCAAAATGAATTTCACCCATTTCTTGTTTCCCTTCAGTGTAGTTAAGATAATAGTTTATATTACACATGAACTTACACAGTTTCACTGGACAGTGAGTTTATAGCAGTTTTTCACTCTGATTAAATTACAGTTAAGCCAACAGCATAACCAAACTTGCATTTAAGCCCTCTAAACCTGGCATGTTGGCACATACCTGTAATTCCAGAAATGAGGATGAAGATTGATACAAATTCAAGGCCAGCCTGAACTACATTTAAGATACTGAATTCAAGATCTCTCAAAAAAAAAAAAAAAAACTCTACTTCAAGACACCTGAAGAACTTTTAAAAGTCAACAAATTTCACTACCATCTATCTCTAATATGAATGTTAAAAGTCATCATCTAATTCAAGCATATGAAAGAAGTCTTAGAAATAACATAAAACTATTAAAGCAATGTTCCCTCTACCTTCTATTCATTACAACTAACAGCGTTTTTATAAAAATTATAGGTGCTTATCCTTCCCAGAGGTTACAGTTCAGTAGGATGGGGGTAGAATTTCAATATATATACTTTTATTTAAAAGCACTCCAAGCGTACCTTACAGACAGCCAGTGCTGCAAAACATCATTTAGGTAACTTACACATACATACAGTTCAGCGTATTTCTGAAAGCACCACTGAAGCCCCCATAGGTTTTGAAACCCAGCTATGGGGCTCCTTCGACATCAGTAGCTAAGTCTTAAGGACCAATATGGCTAAAACTGTTGCAACAGCAAGAAGCTGCTGTAATTAGGCATTCAGCAAAAGTCATTTTACTGTGTTCTTCTCAGAAAGATTTTACACGTGCACAAATGAAGGTAATTCCTATTTCCTTTTTCGTTCAGTACTCTCAGCAATTATTCACAGGAAAGAAACAGAGTCTCAATGTTTACAAACTGAGCTCTGAAATCAAACTACACAAGATTAAAACCTAACATTGGTTATAAACTATAGAAACACAAAGTACTTCATATTCCTAAGCATCTGTTTCCTCCTCCGTAGTAAGAGGAAATGTACTTACTCATTAGTAGAACTAATACCAAACCTGTGGTCAGAGTACAATACTGTAGCATACCAAAAACGCCATGCTTTTTACTTACATCAAGCTTTTCCCTGAAAGACTTAGCCACAAGCAAGCCTTTTTTTCATTAGCTCAACAAAAATACCTGGATATAGGCTCAAAAAGTAAAGCCTGTGTGTCTCCATTTATACACAGGCTTTTAAAGCAAGAAAATACATCCTAATCTCTCACCTGTCAGACTCTTCAATCCTTCTGTGAAAAGCGACTGGAACTCTGGAGATTGCAACTTCATTGTAAATAGATAATGCTTCAAAAGACTGAGTCTACTCCAACTACAACTCAGTAATGGCCTGTGCCAAGGATACAGGTGCCTCAGCATCTGGAAAGTATCCCACCACTCATCTGCAAGGCAGACATGCAGGCACGCCAATGAAACTTACAAGTCAAGGAAAATAAATGTTTTATTTATCAACCAGAAGAGCTACATCCCGTATCCACATGAAAACTGAATAATTACTTTGTAAAGGGACATTAAAAACGTGCTTGCAGCCACGTGTTCTGTACTGAGATAGTCACATACATTTTACTGTTTTAATATTGTACTGTGAAGTGGGCGTCAAAGCATGAGACGGGGCTCCAGAAAACCAACTGGAAGATCTGCAAGAAGCAGCTTTCTCCTCCACAACATGTCATTGTTACATGTGGACATCACCTTAATTCCCCACCTACCCTGAATTTCGTAACTCTCGATTACCTCCTCAGGATTGGGGACAAAATTACTTTTTGTGACTAGACATTGCTGCCTGCATTTCCCTCGTTCTTTTGCTTGCACGGTGCCTTCCGAGCCCATCACACCCTAGTCCTCCCCATCAGATGAGCCCCAGCGCGGAGGCAGCAGTTCTCAGGTGACTCTATGTGAACTACTAGAAACCCACTCCATTCTTCGGGAAGCAGTAAGGAGTGGCGTTTCCCACAGCACGAATTTCCTTGCCCAAGCCACGTGGGTTGGAAACTGAGTCCCTATCCTTCCATTTGTGCCTCAGCTCAAAAAAGGGGGCTTAAGCCCCTGGCCTCGACTCCCCGTCTGCCGCCGACAGCCCGGGGCGGTCACAGAGCCCACGAGGTCCGCGGGTTTGAGGTATGCAAAGGGCTTTCCGAAATCAGGCCCCGCGGTAAGCTGGGATGGAGTCGGGGCACGACCTCCACGCTGAGGCCCCTTAGCCCACAGCTGAAGCCGCCTACGGCCGGACACCGCTCCCACCCCTCCCCAAGATGCCCGCCCGCGTCGCCGCGGTAGTTCGGCGTGAAGTAATAGGACAGATCTACCCCGGCAGGCCGCTTACCGGCCCCGCGCCTTCTGGCCACAACATGCACTTCCGGAACGGTGAGCGTGGTGACGTAACCACGCTCTAACGTTAGCAGCGAATGAGAAGTCGCCGTCGGAGTGGGCGTGGCCCATCCTCCTCCTGGCCCTTCCCATCTCTCCCGCACCTGGACGGAAATGTAGAGCTTTGCTCTCGGGCTGGCTAGTTCTTTGCCAAGAAGGTTGTCTTGGGGGGTTAAAAAGTACATTACTCGGAAAGGAGACACAGCTACGAAACCTAGGCTAGTGTGTTCAGGACTCTAAACCGAAACCCTGCGACCTCTTGAAATTACGGAGTGTAGGTTATTTTGTAACTTGTGTGTAACTTGCGGTTTTTGTGATCCAGAGGCTTTGTAACAGAGAATGTAGTTGAGTTAATCCCTTAACAGAAGGCAGCGAAGAGGGTGGCAGAAACACGGATTTGGGCCAGGGATTTAGCTTCGCAGTGTGTGTGCGTGGCTGTGTGTGTGCGTGGCTGTGTGTGTGCGTGGCTGGCGCAAGCTCTAGTTCAACCCCTAGTTTAAAAAAAAAAAAGACATGCAAACGTTAAAAACCGTAAAACAAGAAATGTAACTTTATATTACTTAACTTTCTTTAGAAATTGCCTAGAAAAAATGTGTATGCTGTAGTGTCTTTGTGACTTTTTACCAGGAACTTATCGTCAGGATGAATTGAGTTTATTTTAGAAGCGCATTCCAAGTTGACATTCAGAGGCAGAGCACTGTTTCAATCCAAGGCCGTAAGGTAGAAAAGCCTCACATCCCTGTTAGCGTTTCCCATTTCTCTTTACCTCCAGTTTGTACATACTGGATACTTCCATGCCAATTTGCCAACAGAAATGAAATGGGTAGTTTCTATTAAAAAGGTAGCTTCCACCGGAAATAATGTAAAAATCTCAAAAGCGCTTCTGTTTTTAAATTGAATTTCCCACAAAGATAATCCCAAGCCTAGATGGTTTCAGTGCTCGAATTTCTCAAACACAAAAGAAATAACACTGAATTTACACAAAATTGTTTGTAACATGGGAAAAGAAACACTTTAATCTTGAAGAGGAAAGCATAACCCTAATAGCAAACATGGCATAAATATTCTTTAAAATTTGCGGACTAATATCCCATGTCAACAAAGAACAAACAACATAATATTAGCAAATCGGCTCCAATAATAGAAGTTATCATGATCAGTTTGGGTCTTTAAGATGAATGTAAGGTTCAAAGACCAATCACTTTCACCATATTTATAGACTAAAAATGTATGATCAACCTTAACACATACTTAAAAAATAACACTAATAAAAACATCAAATTTAGAACGAGTTTCCTCAGTATGGTAAAGGGCATACTGTAGCTTTGAAAAAGGGCAACTGTAGCTTTGCAAAAGCTACAATTAATATCATGTTTAACAGAAAAATTTTGAGCACATTTCCTCTAAATGAGGAACAAGGCAAGGATGCCCACATTTTTTCAGCATATGACTATAGTTTATCACCATTGACATAAGGCAAGAAAACAACTTAGAAAGTGTAATCATGTGGAAGTAAAATCTTCCAATGACTTGATGTTTTACATAGAAGTCACAGGAAACAATCCAACTACTGTAACTAGTAAGTTTAGCTCAGTCTCAGTATACAAAGATAAAACATAAAAAGCAATTCTTTTTTATGTACTAGCAGCAAAGAGTACAGACTTACATATTTTATATGTATAAAATGTAGGAATAAATAAGATAGTTGGCAACCAAGCATACATAAAGATATTAAATGTCAAAAAAGATTAAATATCACCAATCACGAGGGAAATACAAATTAATACCTTAACAAGGTATCATTAAAGAATTACTAGAATGCTTAAAACTCAAAAACCCTACAATATCAAGTACTTATGAGGTAGTGCAGCAAGTGAAAGACTCATACATTGCTCGGAGGACTACAGACTGGTACAACCACTTTGGAAAGCAATTTATGTTTGTATATTTGTGTTGGATAAGCAAATTAGTATATGTTCCTGAAAATGACTACTACTTAACAATGAAAAAAGAACAAATAATGATATATACAATTTGTCTGACTCAAGTGAGGAAAGCCAGAGTCAAGAAGCTATAAGAAATATAATTTCATTTATATGAAATCAGATAAAAGGCAAACTATAGAGATATTAAAACTGATCAGTTCTTCCTAGGGGCAGGAGATAGAAGAAAGAGTTGATTACAGAGAAGCATGAGAGAGTTTAGAATTTGGAGCAGGGGTGGAGGGTTGGAGGTGCTGCCGGAGTTGTTCTATAGCTTGATTTATGTGGTGACTATAGAACTATGTGTGTTTGTCAAAATACAACAGCACATAAAAAAGTAACTTCCTGTATGAATTTATAGCTCAAAATAGCCCAAAACCAAGAAATGTTTTATATAGTAGCCAAAGTCAATAAGAATATGAAATTTTTAAAAATCCACTTAAAAGGCTCTCGATATGCTCAAATTTGCCAGGGATACAACTCAGTGGCATAAACACCTCCCTGACAAATGAAAGGTCCTGAGTTCAATTCCCAGTGCAAAAAAAAAATTCAAATTATCTCAACTAGTAAAGTATGTACTTGTGAAATCAAGATGAGCACTGTAAAGCCCATTAAAGAAGAAAAAGCTACAACTAATGTCATATGCCAGGGCACTCTCATGGTTTGTGTCAATGGCCCCCAAACCTCATGAATTATGAACTCAATCAAATCTAGTTTTTCTGATTGGTTTGTTGTTTAGTGCTTGGATTGGTGGTGTGAGTGCTAGGGGTCAAGCCAGCATATAATCGAAGGGTGGGAAGAAGATGCGTCTCTCTCTCTTGGTGGTTTCCACCTTGCTGTTTGCAGCCTACTATGAATGACTGTCCCACCACGCCATGCTGCCTTGGAGCCAACTGATTATGAACTGAAACTTCCAAGAACTGTAACAAATAAACCCTTCCTTCCCTAACTTTGGGTGCCAGGTATTTTGTCTCAGCAATGAATGAAAGTAACCAAGACACACCCAAATGAACACCCTTCCACTATAGGATTTTGCTATCAACAAGTTGTCTCATCAACACAAAATATTCTTAACACAGACCAATCCTAAGGAAAATAAAACTTCACTTGCAAAGGACTGACATTTTTCATCAGAACTCCCCACCAGATATATTATCTTTGGTTATGTACTTTATGAATACTTTGTTTTGAGAAAGGATCTTGCTGTGTATTTCAGGCTGGTCTTGAACTCACTGAGTAGCCCAGACTTCCTAGAAGTCACAGCAGTCCTCCTTCCTCAGCCTTTAGGTGCTCAGATTACAGGAGTGCACCACCATGCCCAGAAAGAGATGCTTTAGTCTGGCAGATCTGTGACATCCAATAGAAATACTAAAGTCATGAGTACTCTTCTTCAGCTGGTAGTCAATGTAATATTGAGAGAAAATCAGGGAAATAAGATAAAAGGTTTAGGAAATATATCACCATTAGATAACAGCAGCTTTAAGTCTTAATACGTGCTTATTTGAATATACTTCAGGGTTACAGATTTTTTCAGAGTTCACATCTTTCTTCAACATAGACCAATATTAGCCCTTGGTCTCTATGCCTCTAGTTGCCAAATGTGGCTCCCCAATGTTCATCTAAGTTTTAGGTGTGTTTCTGTGAAACTAATTCATTTCCACACACTTGAAAGAGAAGCAATGGTGTGTGTGGAACACCCGTCATTGCCACACTGCTTCCAGTCATCCATCCTTCCATCCATCCATCCATGTTTCTTCAGGGATGAAAATATTTACAATGATAGTCATGTAACAATGTATTGTGTTTAGAACAATGCCAGGCAGTTTAACCATAGTAACCTGATTAATTTTAAATATCCAGTGAGGTATTTTATAGAAGATGATATTAAGTCCTACAGGGATTTGATCTTAAGGTCAAAGATTTAATGGCACAAAAAGAATATGCCTCCAGGCAATCAGACTCAAAAGTACTACTAAACATAGATAAAGAAGTGTCAGGGACCAGATGAGGCAGGGGTGGCCACTTCACATTGTAACAGTTGGATTTCATTTTAACTGTAGTAACATATTAAAGGATATTTTTAAGCCACAGCTTTCATAAATCTGTGTTTGTCAAAATTAAGTATCTCTAGGAGTTGTTTTGGAGAACTGGTCACAAGCCTGGGGGTGCTGTCTTGTCATCACAGTGGTCAGAACCCTGGCACTGGAGGGAAAGAGAAGTAAACAGAGACCCGTGTGAGATGAAGCACAGGGAGAGACAGAATGGAAAAAGGGAATCACGGGCAACTTCTGTATTAGTTTTCTATGACTGCTGTAACAAATGGCCACCCACAGAGGCCTAAAACCATGTAAATGTATTACAGCAGCTCACTGTTCTGGAAGTCATGACCATCCTGAGCCCACTGGGCAGGGTTTCTCCCAGCACTTAAGATAATCCATTCATTCTTTCCAACTTTTAAAGGCTTCCTTTTCTCCTCTTCAAAGCTAGCAACAAAATATCTTCTGCCTTCTGTGATTCTTCTTGCCACCCTGTTAAAGGATCTTGGATCAATATGGATTGACTATTTCAGAAAATCTTCCCACGGCAGGATCTTCACCTTAATCGTATGCACCATGTAAGGCAAATGGTCCCAGGTCGTGAGGATTAGTACTTTTGTATCTATGTGCACCTGTTATTCAGCCCACAAACCTTCCAAGTGCTGTAGTAATTAGGTAGATGGGAAGACAGAAGAACACCAAAGAAAAGCATGTTACCAAACAACTAGAACATTAATTACATCCGCTTCAATACTAAGGACATTCTCTACTATTTACCCTTTTTGGGTTTAGGCGAGAAGTTTGATTCCAGGTTAAAAAAAAAAAAAAAACATGGCTGAACAGAGCTATGTCATCCCATTAATTAGAAGGGTGATTGGTCTCTGGTCTCAGTTCTCAATCCTGTCTACCAGCATCTCAGAAGCCCTTTAGCCTCAGCCCTTTTTCATATATCAGGGTTTCTGGAAGCATTTGCATTTTAAAATAGGCCAGAGAAGGGAGAATA